ACCTTTCTTTACCTTCACTGAGAATTCATACATATTCACATATTTACTATATACTTACACTTTTTATTTTCTTATATAAGTTATATTATTAGCAAAAAAAATTTCTAAAACGAACAATTGGAAACATTTTCTTAGTTTTTTTTAATATATATATATATTATGGGTGGGAAAAAACGCGTATTTTGTATTTCTCGTTATTTAAAAAGAACATCTTTCGATAATATTCATCGGAAAAAGTATTGGCATGATAATTTTACATAATTTTATAAAATTCCATAATTTTTTTTTTCTAAAAGAAAAAGAAAAAAAAAACCGAGTTAAGGAGTCATTTAATGATACTTTCCTTTTTTCCATCTTTCAAACTGATTTTTTATATTGTAAATAATTTTTTACACATCGCATTTCAAAATCCTAAATAGACAAAAAAATGGAACCTAAAAAAAAAACCGCATTATATTTTCCATGCAAATATCTTTCTTTTTTTAATAATAATAATGATTATTATAATTATTATCTAATTATAATTCACACAACAATTAATTAGATAAAATAGAGATTAATCAATCATCTTGCATTTTTTTTTTCACCTGTCGCAAAATATATAAACTTCGCATTATGTAATACCAAAGATTTTCTAATTTTTTCATATCTCCTTATTGTTATCCATTTATAATTACTATTTACACAATCTTGCATAATAATAAATTTAATTGTCATAAATTACTTACAAAATTTAATTATATTTATTTACGACTTTATTATTTACCCTAATTTTACGCACACATTTTTTTAATTCCTGTTTAATTATTTCCTTCATGGTAATCATCGTGCGCAAAAATTTATTATACGCGACCAAATAATAATAAAAAAAAACTTTTTGTGATTAATTTACGGTATTGATAAAAGTTTTAAAAAAAAAATTTGTTGTTATGCCATATTACATTACATTAAACACCTGAAAATAGTTATTGAAAAGTTTATATTGATAAAGTTTTAAATATTTTTATTTTTTTTAATTTTTTTTTAAACATCGAGGCATGTATAAAGCTTTATTAGGTAGTTTTGAGATACAGTATATACTCAATATATAAATTCTAAAAATACCTACATTATTTACATTAGTAATTAGCTGCGTGTTTTGCCATTTATTGTTGTTATTATTGTTATTTTTAACCAGCCAATCAACCAACAACTATCGGTGGTACCTTCTTTTAACTTTTCCAATTTAGAAAATGAGTCCCCTTTTTTTTTAAACAGAAAAGACATTAAATTTTTGCGCATTTAATTTATTTATTGTGAAATAAATTAAAATTTTTGAATAAAAAAAAAAAAAGGATTATAAAGTTTTTATCTCACTTCTACTAATTTTTACTACCGAATGTTGTTGTTACTTTACTAATAATGTAACAAACTTAATATAAACTTAATATACTTTTTTTATTAGAATAATATTTAAATTATTATTATAGTCTTCATTAATATTTATTTTATAAATTTCAATAATAATAAGCCTTATTATTATTTCTTATTATTTTGCTAATTTGTTTGTTCATTTGCTTTGCTGCTGATTTGTTTATTTGTTTGCAGTATTCATTTTGACTGAATCGTTTTATATTTGCCGGAAATATAATTGCCGAAAATTGGTTCGACTGCCCTGCCAACACCAATAAAAGTTTTGTGCGTTTTTTTACATTTTTTTGACTTTTCTCGCAATTTATGAAATATGCAGTAATTTTTTACTAAATTATTTCTATGGTAGATCGAAAGGTCTTGTTCTTGGCTACAAAATGGTATATGTTTCATCTCTGTAGTATCGATATTCATCGAGTTATTACAGTTAAAATCAAAAAATCTCCACGGACGTTTTACTTTAAACTTTAATTACTTAATGAATATCGAATGAAATACGTACCATTTTGTAGCCAAGAACAAAGCCCTTCGATCTATTATAGAAACATCTTAGAAAATCACGAAAAAAATATTTTCGAAAATATTTTCGGTATTCCATAATTCTCGGCAACATGCAGTAAATATAATTATATATATATTTTATATATAATATAATGAACTATAATGAACTATAATAATAAACCTAAAAATTAACTACAAAGAATAAAATAAAAAAAATTTTTCATTAGAAAACAACAACAAATAATACGTGCTACTTATTTTCTTCATTCTTCATTCGTTATTCTTTCATCACTTCCATTTTTAATTTTTAATTATTATTATTATTATTATTGATATTATTATTATTTTTTTTATTTTTAGAAAATAAAGTAAATAAATAAAAAAGAGGACGATATACTTGCATTTCTCTATCTTATCTAAAAAAAATAAGTACGAATAATAGTAATATTCAGTACTAAATACAAAATACAAATACTGGATAACTTAATAATAAATAAATACTAGTACTAATATTTTCATTTGTTTTTTTCCTTCTCAAATACATAAAACGTATTGCATTAAACGTATTAAAAAGTATTGTATTACATATTTTTATTTATGAACATTATTATAAAATTTTAAATTAATATCTGAGTCATAATTAATTAATGTACTATTATTTTAAATTAATTAAAAAATAAAATTAAAGTTTAATTAAAAATTATTAATTGAAGCTATAATAATAAAATAACAATTAAATAACAAAATAAATAATAAAATAAATAATAATAAAGTTTATATCTGATATTAAAAAAAAAAAGAATTGATGGCTTCTGTTTGTTAATCTAAAAAGAACATTTAAAATTTATTATTAGCGAAACATATTCTAGTAAAAAAAAAAAAACCGAATTATTGTATGTGTGTGCTATGTTGTATTCAGTTATCAATATAAAGCCTTCATTTGTATGCCCACAAGGTCACGTCGCTTAGTCATGATCTAAATATATATATATATATTTTTTTTAAAAAAAAAAGAGGTTAAAATAATTTTTAAATGATATCTCTCATTTCTATTTTCGTCTATGATATAATCGTGTTTATTTGGGCTTTTTTTTTTTTTTTTGCTAAATTTAATTGTATAACTGAACTGAACAATCAGGATAGTGAAAAATAATAATGCTAGAAAATGATAATTAATAATAAAAATAAAAAGATAATAATAATAAAGATAACAGTGCAATGAAGATATGAATTAAAATAAAAAAAAGCGGGAATAATTATTTTACTTTCAATAATAATTGCTTTACAGTCAAATAATTATAACAATAATTATAATAAAAATAATGTTGAATTTATACACAGAAATAAATCATCTGGCAAATTGTTATTTTTAGTCAAATTTTTTATTATCTAGAGTATTAATGTATTGAAGTGATGTTATGGAGAGTAATATATGTATTTATTGAATGTTATTAGGTGTCATCATTTAAAAATATCATTTAATTATTATTATTTAGGTGTCATTTAGTTATTCCTGTTTAAAGAACAACATTATAAGTTCTGTAATCAAAACTTTAAACATATTTTATTATTAATATATGACAACAAATTTGGAAATTTGGTATTTTTAGAGCTATTTATAGATCTTTTTAAGTTTTAATTACACGTTTCAAAATTACCCTTTAATTTATGCCTAATTATTATATTACTATTATTTTATATAAATTAATATATTAAAATATATTAAAATTTTTACCTGTTTCTTTATAATTTTTTATTCAATTTTTTATATTAGATTGAAATATTGTTCTAATATTCAAATTCAATACTTTACTCCAATCAAATTCTTCTGGATCATAAAGTTATTGCTTTTACGTATGTAATAATTTAGTATATTCAGACAGATGGCTAATTCCAATTTCTATGAAACATTTCAAAGTATTAGGAATAAAAGAAACAACAGAATTGATTGTTTAATAAATGTTACAATATTTTTTATTACAGTTTTAATAATAATTTATTTTTTTTTCCAACTTCGATATTAAGTAATAAAATTTTTATATTAAAAATTTTTTTTTTTATTTATATTTTCTCATAATATTATAATTTACTCATATTATAATTTATTATAACTCATTATAGTTTATTACACTTTATTATTAAAGTTTATTTTATTATATAAAATAAATATTATTCTAATATTAAGTATATTACATTATTAGTGAACTCTAAATAAATAAAAAAAATGGGGAATAATTAAAAAAAAAATGGGGAAATGAAACTCTTTTTCTAAATTAGGAAAGGGATTAACTGGTTAAAATTAAATAGTAACTCAATCAATAGATATATATGAAGTTACACAGAAAATCTTTTTTTTATTATTTATAATTATTTGGTCACGTATAATAAAAAAAATATAATAAAAAATAATAAAAATATAACAAAAATGTAACAAATAATAATAAATATAATAATAAATATAATAAATATAATGAGTCGTGAAGGAAATAATTAAACGGGTAAATAATAAAGTATAATTCGTGAACGTCACCATGTTCTTCATCTGAATACGTAAACGAGAACATAACAACTTAGTAAACTTAGTACAAACGTGATATGTAATCATAATATGACTAATTTTATGTTGTGTAATGCTTATCGGAGATTAATTTGTTTTTGTTTACATTTACACATAGTCAACTAAAAAAAAAAATTTTTTTTCTTTTAATTTTTTCCCCTCATTTCGATAAATAGTTTAATTATTTTTTCGTTTTATTTTATTATTTTATGCCTTATAATGTTTATTATAAATTACAATATTATATTTAATTATTTTATTGCTATTATATTTAATTATTTTATTACTATTATATTATATATATTAATATATTAAAATATTTTTTAGTTATTCATTATTATTCTTTAAACTAATTCAATTTTTTATATTAGATTAAAGTATTATTCTAATATTCAAAATGCAATACTTTACTCCAATCAAATTCCTTCTGGATCATGGTATAAAGTTATATATATATATAATAAATCATTCCCCTCAATAAAATTAATTCCTATAATTCATATATTTCATATAATTCATATTCAAACTCCAGATGGCAAATTCTCATTCTTATGAATTATCTCAAAGTATTAGAAATAAAAGAAACAACAGAAATGATAGAATTTACAGAATTGATCAATATCAATATAGCCAGAATGGTCAACAACAACAATGTACTTGCTGTAGACAATCATCTTCAACTGCAACTAACACTTCGTATTCTTATGTTGCTCCAACCCAGCAAAGATATTCTTCAGATTTTATCAATATCAATTCTACTTCATTTCCTCCAATTTCAACTCTAATTTTTCCATATACACCAACCTCTATCATATTAGAGACTGTCTCCTTCTCCCTCTTCCTCCTCCGAATCTTCTTCCTCTTCTTCACCCTCACCTTCTTCACTCTCACTTTCTTCACCTCACTAAGGAGTCATACATATTCACATACTGGCGGAAAACCATTTGTTTACGCAGAACCGGGATGTGGTAGAAAATTTTCAGTACAAAGTAATATGAAAAGACTGCTAAGAAAAATTGGTATGATGATGAAATAGATGTAAAAATTTTGTATCATTATCTTCTTCAACAACCACATCAATCATCATCATCACCATCACCATCATCAATATCATCTTCAAAAACAATTACAATTACAATCACATCATCATCTTTAATAATATGTTAAAAGGATATTAATAAATAAATGTTTTTATTTCGTTTTATATATATATTCTGAGTGGGAAAAAGCGTAATTTTGATTTTCTCGTTATATAAAAAGAATATTATTTCGCCTTTCGATAATATTTTTCTTTTTTTTTTTGTTCAATCGGAAACAATATATTTACATAATTTTATAAAATTCGATATTATTTTTTTTTTTCCTAAAAGTTAAGGAAATCATTTAATGATACTTTTCCTTTTTCATCTTTCTTAACTTATTTTTTTTTATATTGTAAATAATTTTTTATATTTCAAAATCCATTTTTTTTTACCCGTCATAAATATATGTATATACTTCACATTTTTTTATGTAATAATTCATTTTTCGCATATATATCAAAAATTAAATTTACGTGAACAAAGCTAGGGTTAAGGGAATTATGTAATTTTTCCTGGTGATTACAATTACCCTTACTATTTTTTAAGACTATGGTTTTTAAATTACATACATTATCTGAATATATATACATACTAATTTTTTAAAATTTAATTTCCGCTTTTTACTTCACTTAGTATTGGAAAAACTGGCCAAAGTAGGGTATTTTTGCCCAGTGGATTTACTCATAAATATATATTTGACAAAAAAAAATCATTTTAATAATACAATTAATTTATTTAATTTCATAAAAATACATTATATAATTTATATGGAAATATTAATAAATAAATTTTCAAAAATAATATAAATAAAATATAATTAAAAATTTCATAAATTGAAATTTTGTTGTTTAAATTTTTAATTTCATAAAGTAATCCAAAAATTATTTACATTAAAATTTAAATTTTCGGAAGGTTGAATACGTAATGGTGAAGGTGACAATCCAAAATCTTCATCTTGCATTTTTTGATCTGCATTTAAAAACTTAAGTGAATGTTCTGTTTCTTTATTAAACATTAATTCAAAAATCCATTTTTCTAAAGTATAATGAATTATTTCAGCACTTGGACGTTTAAATGGATCTTTATCCCAACACTTTTTCATTAAATCTATATAACACTGAGGTGTACTTTCATTAATTTCTGGTCGAAGTCCATTAAAAATATCAATTGCTAATTCTGAATCATATGCTCTAATAGCAAATGGTCTTTGTCCTGTTGAAATTACCCACATAATAATTCCAACACTATAAATATCTGAAGCTTGTGTATATTGCTTTTTATTTAAAACTTCAGGTGCAATATATGGTACTATACCATATACTTCAGATGATGAAATTTCATTTGCATTTGCTGATCTGCATAATCCTAAATCTCCTAATCTTATGAATTTGTAGTCTGAATTGTTATATACTTCAGTTATCATAAGGTTTCCAGGATGAAGATCACGATGGACATGTTTTTTATTGTGAATTACTTTTAATCCCCTGATAAAAGAATCCAATAACCATAATCGATCAATCCAAGATAATGATTTATTTTGTTTAAGAAAATCTTTTAAATTTCCATTTTTCATATATCGTAAAACTATTGCATATTCTTTTTTCTCTGGATCTTGAGTTATACCTAAAATTGGTAAAATATATTTATCTCGACATTCGAAATTTGCAGTTAACTATATTTATAAAAAATATAAATTATATTTATATTAGATAAAAACATATTGATATATTGATATATTGATATATTTAATATTTACCTCTTTTAAAAATTTTAAACTAATTTCTTGTGAATCCTTAAGCTTTTTAAGGACAACTTGATTGGATTTATAAAATTCAAATAATTCTTCAGGCATATCAATCCATTCTGCTTTCCAAATACTGCCAAACCCTCCTTTAGCTAAATGTTCTATATTTTTGAATTCATTATAATTAATCCATCTCCAAATTTCCCATTCTTTTGCATTATTATCTGATTGAGTCATTTGAATAATCTTATCAATTTCATCATTACCACTAGTCCATTTTTCTATAAGTTTACAATTTGAACATGTATTATTTTGTAAATTTAATTTTTCACAATTATGACATCTATGCTTTAATTTATTTTTAGAAGTTCTAATTTCATTTCGATAACAATATTCAATTGAGACTTGTTTTTTTTCAGCAGATTTTGAGTACCATTGAAATGCTTTATCTTCATCTTTTATAGTTCCAATTCCATTTTCATAACAATATCCAAGATTAAATTGTGCTATACTATCTCCCCTTTCAGCTGATTTCAAGTACCATTGAAATGTTTTCTTTTCATCTTTTTTAATTCCAATTCCATGGTGATAACAATATCCAAGATTACATTGTCCAGCATTATCTCCTCCTTCAGCTGATTTCAAATACCACTGAAATGCTTTTTTTTCATCTTTTGTAATTCCAATTCCACATTGATAACAATATCCAAGATTATTCTGTCCCATATGATTTTTCCCTTCAGCTGATTTTAGATACCATTGAAATGCTTTCTTAAAATCTTTTGAAGTTCCAATACCATGTTGAAAACAAATTCCAAGATTGTTCTGTCCTTCATGATTACCTCCTTCAGCTGATTTCAAGTACCATTGAAATGCTTTCTTATAATCTTCTGAAGTTCCAATACCATTATAATAACAATTTCCAAGATTATTCTGTCCTTCATGGTTTTCCCTTTCAGCTAATTTCAAGTATAACAGAAATGCTTTCTCTTCATCTTTCGTAGTTCCAATTCCATAATGATAACAATATCCAAGATTCATCTGTCCCATATAATTTCCCTTTTCAGCTGATTTTAAATACCACAGAAATGCTTTCTCTTCATCTTTTGTAATTCCAATTCCGTTTTCATAACAATATCCAAGACTATTCTGTCCTTTATGATTTCCTCCTTCAGCTGATTTTAAGTACCACAGAAATGCTTTCTCTTTATCTTTCGTGGTTCCAATTCCATTTTCATAACAATATCCAAGATTATTTTGTCCTTCATGATTTTTCCCTTCAGCTGATTTCAAATACCACAGAAATGCTTTCTTTTCATCTTTTGTGATTCCAATTCCATTTTCATAACAATATCCAAGATTATTCTGTCCTTCATGATTTTCTTCTTCAGTTGATTTCAAGTACCACTGAAATGCTTTCTTTTCATCTTTTGTGATTCCAATTCCATTTTCATAACAATATCCAAGATTATTTTGTCCTTCATGATTTCCCCCTTCAGCTGATTTCAAGTACCATTGATATGCTTTCTTTTCATCTTTTGTAGTTCCAATTCCATATTGATAATAAACTCCAAGAATATTCTGTTCCATATGATTTCCTGCTTCGGCTAATTTCAAGTACCACTGAAATTTATCTTTGGTTGTTTCAATTTCATTATAACATAAAGTTTCCATTTTGTGTTAAGATTTTTCTGTCAAAACTTTTTAATAAAATTTAATGAATTTCAAAGTTCTATTATTTTTATTAAAATTTTGAAATGGAATATAATTTTAAACTTGATGAATTAATTATATAAAAGGATAAGACGGAAATCACTTTATGTGCTTGAAAGTTATAAGTCACTTCATTTATATAGATTTATAATTAAAATTATTTGATATTTCATACGGATGACCTAAATTGGTAATTTTAAGATTTTATTCAGAGCGCATACATAATGCATGCATTTAAAAAATGGTACAATTTGTAATTGTTGTTTCCTTTTCTAATTTGGGTATAAGGCTCTGTTCAAGATTATAACTGTGATGAACTTTAATGTAATATTTTATTAAAATATTAGTCTAGAAACAGGAAATGTTCTTTTATCGTGGATTCATCTACAGAAAATGCATTCTTTTCCTGTGAATGTTTAATGATACGTTAGGTAAGGTTAATCCCTGAACTTTGTGTATGGATATTGGGTTCGATTTAGAGGGGTTCCATGAAGAAGAGATGAGGTATGTTTCTTGATTTCCATATCAATAATATACAGAAAGAGCACAATCTAATTGTTTGTTCCATATTCGAATCTGTAACGCCATCGGAATTGTTCAGAAACATTATATTTTTATTAATAGTTTGTATTAAATAGGTAGGCATAAATAGTAAATACATATATATATAGGATTATTAATATGAACTTACCGTTATGGAACACACAATCGGAAGAACGACGAGAAAAAAATTACACTGTATTTTCAAGATAAATGATACCAAAATTATTCAAGAATATTTAGGTAAAGAAAGGATTACGTATGAAATTTACCAAGGAAGAAATAATAACTAGCAAAATACAGAACCCTGAAGAACCTAGAAAAAAAAATCCCCCTCAAAAAATAGAAGAAGATAATTTCTGGCCAATTTGATTAATAAATTAGAGAACATTCGTTTGCTCCTTTATTTTTTGTAATGATACAACTTCGTCGCCATTTTATCGGATTTGTGTATCATTTAATTTTATTTTCTTTGTAAGTTTTTTGGTAATGCAATAGATTATAGTTTAATTATTGATTTGTTTACTACTGTTCGAGGTGTACATTTGAATTTAATGAACTATTATTCCTTGTACCTCATGTACGAGTAACTTTCAAGGTTATTGCAGCTTATCAGGAAAATGATATAAATGGAATATGACAAATATTCTTTTGTTGTTAATTTTAAGGACAAATTAGGAACAATCACTCTCTATGATTGTATTAATTATAATAAAGTTATTTCCTGTCGATAGAATTTTCTTTTTTTGAATTTTTTAACATACAATTGAAATGATTATTTGTATCTTTATAATAATTACAGTATTTGAAAATATAAGAATTATCGTATGTATTTAATTAGATCTTAAGAAATCATTTGGCATAGTAGAAAAATTTATTTGTCTACATCATATCAAAACTAAAACTCAAAATGTCATATTATACTAGATCTAGTCAAGCACCAAGCACAAGTTTAGATTAGATCTTAAGAAATCACTTAGCATAATAGAAAAAATTTATTTGTCTACATCATATCAAAACTAAAACTCAAAATGTCATATTATACTAGATCTAGTCAAACACCAAACGAGTTTAGATGGAAGGACATAAGAGCACTTAATATTTATTTAAAGATGATAAAATTTTAACATACAATAGAAGTCTTATGTAAATAAGGATCGGCTTCTCTTTGTATGGTATCATTAGCTGAATTTATATCCAAAATGTTTCTATAAGAGCATTCAAGTGCAGGAAAACGTGATAGAATTACCGACTCATCTGTAAATTTTCTTTTGCGTACTCTAAACTTTGTTCATTATCCATTAACCTTGCACTTGAAGACGGATTGTTATTCAAAGTGCAAAAATTAACTTTACTATACATTAAACGGAAAATATATATAATAAGCTATTGTTAATAGGCTACCATATATGCAATACGTATAATTAGTACAAGTACACGATTTATATTTTACAAGGATTTGAATAGTTTGATGTATTCCAACTAATAATTATATGGATCCATGACAGATTCTAGAATTTTAATAGTTATAAAAAATCTTGTGATCCAAAATGAAGTACGGTCATGATGTTTACTTGAATTACTTGAAATGAAAATTAGTTTTCACAATAACAAAACGTAACAAGAATTAATTTATAACAAAGAGTTAACTTACACATTATACAAAGAATTCTTTTAATGAAATTATTTTTAATACATTTTTAATAAATTTTTAAAATGAAAATTCATATTTATGTGTAATATCTAGAGGATGGTTAATTTAATACGTGTACGTCGATGTGTCGTATAATTATAATGGTTGGTGATCGAAAAAAAATCTCAAAAAGCGCGACACGTCCCTTACCTACAAAATTATAAACCAATCAAATCGAATAAGATGGTTTGCTCTTAAATATAGTTATTTTAGAATCTCATTGAATAAAATTAAAACTTAGATGTTCAATAATCATTACCATGGACTTTTACATAGTCAATCATATGTTCGCTATTTTTTTTTTGCATAGTGCGCCTAGTCTATATCGTATTTTTAAAATGTTATAAACACGTAATCATATGATCGTTCAAGAGAAATTTTAATAATACACGTACAATAGAGTAATAAAGAAAATATCAAAAGTTACTTCAATAGTCAAAATTATTATATTGTTAAAACCGATTTATAATATATTTCAAAAGTAATTAAAAAAAAATACAAAAATCAATAATCCACAAAAAATTTTTTGAATTGAAATAGTAAAAAAGCAAATATTAAATTATTTTCTTTATTTTTCGCAGATTCTTTTGTAACTTTTATAAATTAATTTGTCCAAAAAAATAATAATTTGGTACAAATTATAAATTAAACGGTTCTTCACAATCTTCAACTTGCCAGGCTCAAATAATCCATTAAATTATATACATCGACCGTATCTTTCATTTTTTTAGTTTACTTTTCAGTCCCGGATCGTCAATTTCGGTCAAGGTCAAATTGAGCACCTTCCAATATTTAGCATTTGATGAGTCGGACATATATATCAAAAGAATGCAAGAGATTTCGGATCAGGCAGCTTAACATCCAGTTGATATAACCTTGTTAAGTTATGTTGCGTGTGACTTTCATTATTGCTTTGAAAGTACAAAAATAAAAAATCAAATATCTTGAACGAAGTATGAGAAAATCATTATCGTGATACGGGCTCCCCTGTCGCAGACGCTTTTTTTTTGTTTAACAGAAGCTATATTCTCTGTTGCGGCGATAATTAAAAGAAACTCAACTCACTGACTAATATGTTATTCAATATCTATATTAATATTTTTATGTGTGATAATTTGTTAACAACAATAATTTTATTTCTCCTTTGTCAGCTCTCTTGAATGGGAAGAACTTCGGAGGGATATCGGATTGAGATATAGGTAGTGTAATAGAATGATTTCTTGGACCAAGATGCCCAATACCTTAAAATTCTTGAAGGCTTCTATATAACTACGTTAGACATCAAAGTACTATACGCTTCACTATCATTGTAGTTGATATATATAGCATCTCCCTATTATATTTATCTTATTTTAGTTCACGTTGAAAACAATTTGCAACCATATGTATATATGATGTAATATATCTGAATAATGAGTCTTGGATTCTTCTGACAAGCATTACATGTTCGTGGCCTTACAGTCCATACCAAATTACAAATTTTGAAATTTAATTATTATATTTGTCTGGTTATTTCATGATTGTTCTTCAAAATAAGGCCGGCCACCCTCACACGATGACATGCCTTCTGATAGTCCCCCTTTGTCGCTGACGCTTTCTTACACCTTACAGTTACTCTTCTTGCTTAACGAAGCTATTTTTTCTGTCACAGTCATCAACTAAGAAAAACTCAATATGTTACTCTGTAATTATACGGTTTTGAAAAATGTTATAATGTCAAAGACTCGAGAGACCCAAAGACTCGAGAGACCAAAAGACAAATAATTATCAGTTGCTTTACTTCGATGCGCGACCAGGTTGGATCAGGGCACCAATTGATGTTACATTCTTGAAGCAAGAAAAATGGAAAGAGTTGTATCTTGCTAAACAAATTAAAAGAAGTGTTCAATAAAAAGGTTGTTCTACACATAGGCCGGTCATCGCTTGATGATGACTTGCTTCCGACAGTTTCTCTCCGTCGTAGGTGCTTCCTTCTTGCTTAACAGAAGCTATGTTCTTTACCGTAGGCGCTGGCTATATTCTGCTAAGAGAAATCTCAACCCACCTTGCTGATTGATATGTTGCTTGAAGACGCGTAAATATTTGAATTCCATGACATTCTGTAATGACATTGACAAAATGAGTTCTGGAAAGAGTTTGTTGAACGAATATATCTAAGAGGATAACAAGTTGTTATGGTTCTAGTAGGCATAGAAAGCCCCAATTTCCGAACATTGGTCCATATAAATAAGACATAGGTTTAAGATTAATGCGTGTCTCTCATTTTTATATGTCAGAAAGCATTATATCGTAAATCATGTGAAATCAGTTTTTGGTCGGGAACAGGTTAATTGTGATAAGCTTTTTTCTACCAATCAAACGACTAATTCAGAATAAATGATTTTTCCTCAAAGAAAATAAAGACATTATTTATTTTAAAACTATTTTAGACTTAGTCGCGTAATAAATTATTTGCAGAAATTTAATTGAAAATCGAAATGTCGACAATAAAATTCACCCCCTTGAATGCACCTTCTCAGTCTAAAGACCAGAATCCTGATCCTATTGAAACTCATTTTCGACAATGCGAAAAGGAATATAATTTAGCTTTAAGAAGAAGTCCCGAAGTTGCAAAGGAAACCTACGTTACCTTGCTCAGATATGATATAATGAAAAACCCTTTATACCAAGTACAAAATTTTGGCGTAGAATTGGCATCAAGGATTACAAAACTAAAATATTGCATACAGAGAAACTATGCTGAAATTTTGGAAAAGGAATACGAAACCATTAAAACAAAAAATGCGGCACAAAAAGCACTCAAACATTATTGGAAGGCTGTCAAAATTGACTCAAGCGACCATAGCATATGGATAAGAATCGGTAAACTTGCAATGTCTGATGAAATAAACGATCGTGAAATCGCTCTTTATGCTTTCAGCCAGGCTTTAAAAGATTTCCAAATTAAGCAAAATCCTCATGAATTATTATCAGCTCCTATTATTCTTACTCCACATCATAGGGTTGCTTTTGAAGAGTTGTGCCGGATTTTATACGATTTTGGAGATTTCCCGGCTTGTTTAGACGCAGTAGATAAAGGATTGATGGTTGACCCTTACAACTCACTACTTTTACAATTAAGATATCAACTTTTGTCGGATACTTGGATAAGATTTTCTTTACCCACAAATTATTATGATAATGCCCCTCCAATTAAACTGCCAATTAATTCAAAACCAATCCCACGACGCGTAAGATCGTCAGGATTCTATCAATCATCAATAAATAAACCCGAGACTTATTATACTATTAATATAACTGAGGTTTCCTGGCTTTGTTTAGGAGAGACCTTATTACATACTTTCGATGAAATCATGTCCAGTCAAAGTAGATCTGAAACAAATCAACGAAGTCAAAGGATTCTAATAGAAACTCAGGCCTACCATTACTCTAATAATACTGCTTCATCAACAAATGAAGCCAGTGGAGCTCCAAATAAACGTAAAAGGAAATCGGAGACAACATTGGAAGAAGATCGAACATATAACGGAAGGGTTAATCGGTGGGCTTCGAAGAAAACCGAGACGATTGAAACTTTCAATCGTCAACGTGATGAAGCTGCATCTGATTTTACGGGAAAAATAATTAATATTATGAAAAAATTTGATGTTGATCATTTTCTTGACACTCAACAACTTGATGTGGAGGATCAAATTGATAAATTTTTGGGATATTTTAGTAAGATATGGACTTTTCGTGCGTCAAATGACGATCATGGAAACATGATCGATACAGCAATTAACCGAATGAAACAAAAATCACCATCGGATTCCAGATATTATCTATTTGCTCCCAACACAAATCCTCCTCCATCATCACAATATTTCAATGAGATCTCTGGAACGGAAGGAATTCTATTTTCGTTTATAGAAAAATTGAACAATCTTAATTCTGGGATAGTAGATTGTTTATGTTTATTTGTGACGCATTTGCTCGGAAGCTTTATTTCTTCAGATGGAGAAGTTGAGAAATCACTGTGGTTATGTCGATGGCCTAATGGTTTAAAAGAAGTTGTTAGAGAAATGATACAAAGAATAGATATGGAATTATTATCTATTCTTGACAATCTCTGCAAGCATTGGGATGAAAAGGATAATTGTGCCGAAATGTTGATGAATATTGAAGAGGACAGTATTGCAAGGCACTATAAACAAAAAATGGAAATTCTGATGGGCATTTACGAATTATTATTGGACACCCAAATTTCGTGGACATGTACTTCATCTGCTGAAACTGGACTATCAAATTTTAACAGTTCAGAAATGTCATCAGGATTACAATTTACCTTAACCAATTACATAGATTGCTTCATTCGTTCATCATTTTACATGTCAAATTTTCTAACTATAGCGGAATCTCAGGCACCTAAATCAGGTTCTGAATTAGATAAATGGAATCATTCATATAAAAAATGGAAGAGTTGGGCGTCGCAATTAAGTGTACGATACTGGTGGTGTGCTGCTAGAATGGAACTATGGAAAGGAGCATTAGATACATCAATGACATTCCTTGAGACATGTAAAATAACTTATTTGTCTGGCGACCATAAAAGCGACATCGTAATATCTAATTTCGCCTATGATTCAATAATCAATATCTCGGCTATAAATCGAAAGGCGTGGATAATCGAATCTCGAAAGGATCAACCACAAGATGAATGGACGCTTGCAATTAATAATCTGGCTGATTCAATTAAATTTTTACATAATTGGGTGTCTGATTCTATTGACAATGATAGAGTTATTTTATTTTGGACAATTATCAGTTCGGTGAACGAGTCAATTACTAAAGTAATCCAATATCTCTCAAATAAGAACCTGCTTGCGAAATTATCAGAAATCGATCGTAAGAAATTCAGTTCATGTTTCCGATTCTTATTCCGAATAAGTCTTGAAGTTCTGTTTCCACGGAGTCTTTTATTAAAGGAGGCAATGGCAGATATTATTGAACCAATGAATATATTATGTGTCCGCACTTGGATCCTATTTAGTTATTTATTAAAAGAAAAAGTGGCTAATAAATTGGCTGACGATTTCGCCGAATTCTTAGAAATTGTGCACGACCAACTTGGAGATCGACACATCTGTGGAATAGACAATGGCAATTTTCTCAAATTAGTCATTTCAACGCTACAAATTTTACATCCGAAAGATTCTAGATTCCAGGAATATCAATGTTGCCATTGTTTATTTAGAGTTTCATTATCTTTAGATTCCACACCTCCAAATGACCATCAGACCCCTACTGTCGACCTTGATCAACAAACTGCACAACTACTTTTGCGAGAGATTCGAAATTATTTAAATTTGAAGTCGCGTAAGTCATATAAGACATGGGCCATTAAGAATGATATAAAAGAAACTTTAGATAAGATTGCGAACCTTGTTAGCCCTCCAAGCGAAAATCGATTTTCCAAATGTAGCTGGAGAACTCAACATTTTCTTGATGACGATATTAATTTTTATGATGCGGTACGGTATAGAGAGCATAGCGATGACATCACGGATCTAGAAAGAATCGCTGATCAAGATAATTCTATTTCTCACACCGATCTTTCTGACCTCTACTATTTCCGTGGTAAAATTTTGCTTAATCAGTTCAAGACCAGATCCAAACCAAATGCTACTAAGGCGATGGAAACTTTAGACAAAGCAATTGAACAATTTACATTTGATATTCGTTCGAATCCGTTAAGGTTTGCCTCTTGGTATGCATTAGGTCTTTGTTATGCTAACTTAGCCAATGAAACACTTTCATGGAGTGCCGAAGAGATCATTAACAATCGGGATAAGATAACAAATTACCAGAAGAAATCTTTCAATTGTTTTATAAGAGCGGCGAAAGTTATTCATTGGTTTCCAGGTAGAAATCTATCAACACCTCAGATTGAAGTGATAAGGTTTTGGAGGGATTTTGGTTATCATGTCTATTCAATGATGACCGAACCGATGTCTATGGAGGCATTCGCATTAAGTCCTGCTCATTCAGTATCCTGGCGGAAACCAACTTTTGAGCAAGCATGTCAATTCTCAGCTGCATGTTTTGGAAGGGCATTACAATTAGAAATTCAGTTGTTACAGGATCATTACGAACCACATATTGATATTGAAAATGATATTCCTATGGACATTCCTCACGATGTTGACACTACAATTGAAACTCCAAATGGTTCTACTAATGGATCGTCGACCGCGTCGACCAATGGCTCAAATGAGAAACCCATTGTTCGAGATTGGAGGTGATTAGATTTTTGAATATCAATATTTAATAAATATTATTTTCATTAATGATTGATTCGTTTTTATTAATAGAATACCGTACATGATAGGGAAATGTTATCAGAAACTTAAAAAAAAACCAGAGGCAACATTTGAATATTAAACTCCTTTTTTATAACCTGTTACGATTTTTATGATTATGAATATTGAATTTGCTTTCTTCTGATATATTAGGTTGTGATTAATTTATTTAAGCTTTCGGTCGGAAGAACTCCGGAAAGTTCAGGGATTACGGGTCAAGAAAAAATATTGGATGCTGAATATAAATTGACATCATCACTAGCCAAATATTTAATAACCAGCAAAATAAAGGTATATTAAAACTATAAAATTCCACGATCACTCTATTTTCAAAGGTATAATCTAAAAGACATATTGTAATAAACTTATTATTATATTAAAGCCTTCATTTGTTGAGAAAACAATAGGGGACTTAGATAATGAGGAAATTGATTATTCAAACGAGGGCGAAATTTTCAACATTCAAAAACCCGAATATCAGCGTGCGTATGATCTTATATGTTCGAAATTAGATAATATACGTAAGGCTGATAAAAACAAGTGGTATCATCGCCCCGTATTTCGCCAAGCATGGCTGACATTTCATGTTGAACAAAAACCCGATGAAGGAAAATCAATATTACAATCCTTATTCCAATTAAAAACTCACATAAGCAAACCAATGATGAACGTTTGGAGACCAGAATTTGAAAGGTATTTTTTATTTTTCTGTTAAAAATTATATAGTAATATTCCAATATATACATCTAATTAATTTGAAATTTAATTGATGATTAGGGCGGGTCGACATTATGTATATGTACATGAATACATTTTATTACTTATAGATCTAGCTAGAGTGACTGAAGACATGGCGATGTTGGAAACGATGGAAGTTAGGCTTGCAAGATCCATTGTCGTTTTACTGAAGCCTGAAATAATTCGAATTAATATGAAGAATGCTATTCAATATGTGGAGAAGGCTCAGCAGCAACCATTAGTATCAGTAGATATATATGGTACTCCAGGGGGAGCTGAACAAACGCAGACACCTTTCACCTCGGACAATCAAGAAGACATAGAGGGGGTCTCGGAATCGTCCAATCAAGAATATGAGTCTGTTAATAATTATGAAACGTCAAATGTTATGTCCGTGGCAGCTCTCATTTCACATGATGACGATTCTCCGATGGCGATCGGTTTTGTGGATCTGGCAGTGAATGATGTGCCTACTAATGATTTGGTTAATAATTTGGAGCCTACTAATGACATGGAGCCTACAAATAATATAGAGCCTATTAATGATTTGGAACCTACTAATAATTTGACTGATCAATCAATGAATGAGACGTAGTTCTCATTTAACATGTAAATAAATCTTTAAACAATAAAAAAACTGCAAATCACATTTCAATTTTATTGTTTTTCTATTTTCAACAATCCATTATATGTTACATGTTTGATAACTGTCAAGGGTGACATAATGTTGTGATTATGTTGCTAAAGTCAAACTACGACTTGAGAATTAAAGTAAGAACTTATAAAAAATAAAATTGATCTCAATTTTCCCTATTATGATCGCGTACGCATACACATAGGGTTAGATTATAGATGGCGCCGGAATTAGTAGCAGAAAATGTTTTCGGCATACATTTTAAAATGCTGAAAATCGGCGAAATTATTTTAATATGCCGAAATTATTTTACCACCAATGAAAATTTCAAAATTTTTTCGTGCGTTTTTTATATTTTTGACTTCGCTTGCGATTTTTTCTATGATAGATCGAAAGGCCTTATTCTTGTCTATATTCATCGAGTTATTACACTTTAAAGTGAAGATTTTTTGATTTTAACCGTAATAACTCGATGAATATCGACACTACAGAGAAAAATCGCTCCATCGCGAGCGAAGTCAAAAAAAAAAAAATGTAAAAAAACGCACAAAAAATTTTGAAAACCTTTGTCGCAGCAAAATAAATAATTAAGGCAGCCGAAAATATAATTGCCGAAAATAATTTATTTTCGGAACCATCTATAGTTTAGCCTAAATTCCAAATCATAAAATAGATTAATAGATTGGATCGGTCAATCCAAAATTCACCCTGTAGCAATATTTTTTAGAAAGTTACACAAGATATAAACCTACATAACATTTAGCTTTTCAACTTAATCTATCAAAATTAACGGTTAAAATTTTGAGTTGACTACTAGTGTGTCGTTCACATGATTATAGATTATATAAAAATATAAAAATAATATGATCTTATAATAATCACGTCATATACTGACACGTCATATACTATATAAAACATACATTGTGACATAATGGCGTGATAACAAAGAAGACGTGTTTATTCTATTGAGGTTCGTTATTTAGCATTACTTGACACTAATGTACTGTAATGACCAAGTGATATCACATGCAGTAACATGCGTACATGCAGTAATAAAGATTTTCGATATGAATTTTTAATTATTACATTTTTAACATGTCTATCACATTTTAAACACGTGTATTTCTCTCTTACATCAAAATAATAAAATATTTTTAACGTTTGAACTATTTTCTTATTCTATTTCGTTATAAATCCGGATATTTTTATTGGTACCCAACGTGATACCAATTTTATATCAATTCGGAAACTTAAAAAATAAATTATATATAATTTGATTTGTATACAATAAAATGAATGAACTTATATTATTTAATAATATTAAGGAATTAAATGAAAGAACAGAAAGAACATCAAATTCGCTTATAATATTACGATAAGGTGCATGATCTGAAAAAAATTTATATATTATTTTTCTAATTTTATATATAAATGGATTAATTATTCACCATAAAAGAAGCTGAGGCCAAAAATTCTTTTGATCAAGGAAGAAAATACATTGATTATTGGAGAATACTTCGAATTTTTTTTAAATTTCTTTTAAAATTTCTTTATTGTAATTCTTGAAAGATTTTCCCAAAATAGGGAATTTTTAATTTAATTTCCTATTTCGAAAATTCATTTTGTCAATTTCACAAGAATACATTTTGTAATAATTTTAGGTAGTAGATATTGTGGTAATAAAATCTACATAAAAATTATACTTAACAAACAAATAATATAATAATAAATATGCACGTTTGTTTAAAACTTATACTTACCAACTTTGTTTAAAAAAAAAAAATGAAATGAAACTTTTGACACGTCTAATACTTTTGATTTGCCATATTAAAAAAAGATTTCACGAAAATATGAATTTTATTCATAAACGTGCAAGAATGATTAAGACTGATTGGATAAACTTTAAATGTGACCTACAATCTGCAAATTGTTTATAAAAGTACGTTCAAACGAATATAAAAGTACGTTCAAACGAATTTTTACTTTTTTTTAATGAAAAAAGAATAAAAAAAAAACATCACCTGGATAAATTAATTCTTATCTTTAATGATGGGAGTAGAATATGGATATAAATTTGGTATTGTACTTAAATTTCACACACACATATATATATTCAAAATATCATCACGTATTCTCTGTCTCCTAACGTACAGTACGTGCATTTCTTTGTATTAATTAATTAAAATTAATAGTTGACGAAACAGCAGAAGCAACTGTTAAACGATTAATAACGCCACATCAAATTGACAAAATTAAGCTTAATCCTTCAAGATCAAATTTTTCTATTATCGGTAAACGTAGCGAAATCTTTAGCTGGATGGGTAATAATGGACATCTCGAAATTGAATATCAAGGATTCTTTAGTTCGATGGAAAATCATTTAACGATACCATTACTTTTATGTGAACTTTATATCGAAGACGGTGATGATGATAATGTTAACGATAACGTGAATAACAACAACCACAATCATAACAATGTGTTGAAAAAAATCTTTAATAAAAATAAAGTTCATGTTGGTCCTTCAACAAGAATGCGTTTGGAAATTAGACCTGATAATAGTCAATTGGATCTTCAAAATAATCAACCTAATTTCGTAGAACGAAAGAAAGCAACAAATGGGATAACATTACTACAATTGTCAAAAGCTTGGGATTGTTGCGATAGGAGTACTTCCGATTATGAATAAATTTTCTTTCTTTGACTCGAAATATAAAATAGAATAAATATTTTATCACTCATGATTCATTACTTTAAGTCAATTTAAAAGAATTTATATATATATATATTCTTGTCACAAGAAGTAAAAAAAAAAAAATCATATTCCATGGAACAAAACAAAAGATAATCTTTTTATTATTATTATTATTATTACGAACATTCAACATAAATTATATATAAGTCTAAGAGTCATATGAAATATGAAATTTTATGTTTACCCTAACTCTTTAAATATTTCTCACAAGATTTTCGTATTGAAATTTATATAATTTTAATTTAAATTTATTCAAATTATTATTTTAAAACTTATTTTTGGTATAATTCAACTTTTATAAATTAGAGAAATAAAAGCAAACAAGAATAATATGAATAAAATGAGAACTTTGTGTGTGAAACATGATAAAGTGTTATAAAGGGTTGTACCTCAAAAAGAAGAAAGCTCTTCTCTCACTGATGCAAGTAATATTTAATTATTGTTATATTATGTTCCTCATGATAACACTTACTTAACTCTTTTTTATTTGTTTAGAAATATTTCATAAAAAAAAAAAATGAGAAAAATATGCAGTGATAAATAGTTTCTTGATTTTACTTTTATTGAGAACTTAATTTTATTGTAATTACAGTATATAATTAATTTTGATCTGTAAATGGCAATTAAACAATGTCGTTTGTATTAAATTTTTAATTATAGTAAAAATAATCACAATAACCAATAAGATAAATATCCATCAGTTCAGTAAGAATTTCTTGTACCTAAAACTTATTGATGATCAAGATCCAAACCAAATTAATAAGAATTTTATTTGATCAAAAATGTTCACCAAGTGTTTATTAAACAATAAGGTATGTTGAAAAAATAAAAGTAATTGTTTATTTAATTTAAATCCTTTATTAATACTGTATAGAGCTTAAATACTTTTTTTTTTAGTTATTATTTTACTATTTAGTAAATAATCTATTTAAATGCATATTAAATAGTTACTAATCAGTCAGTGACTGAATATAAAGATACTTAAAAGAATTGCAAATTAGATTAATACAATTGTATATAAGCAACTTTTGTATTATTTACCAAAGTAACATGATATATCCTTCTTTTTTGATTAGTGTATTGAATTCATGGGATAATTTCTTTTTAGTCTATAAGTCTTTTGGAAGTTGGGCATTTAGATGATTTCAAACAGTTATTTTTAAAGAAACTTTGGAATCAGTAAACCAGTAGTATAAGGTGAAGCCATTCTCTTAAAATTTTTGTTTTCGTTTGGGACAGTTTAAAGTGTATTCGATAGCATCAATCTCTTCGACAGTATTCTAAAATATAAACCAATATCACGTGACATAAAACATTATTATGTATTCGTGGATCATTTAATAATCAAAACTTTCAGGATTAAGGAAACTTTGATTAATATAAATAATAAGCGTAACAGTAAGATATTTATAATAATTGCTTAATGTTATATTTTATAAAGTTTTCTTCTTATATCAGCAGTCTAAATGATACTTGATAAAATAATATTAATAAATCAGAATACCAAAAACATTATATCCATAGAAGTCTATATTTAATAATTTATTTTTTATATAATTTCCTAATTAAAATATATGTAGGATTTCGATTATTAAGAAATTACAGATAAGAAAAGAATGAAAAAATATCTATATTATTTATATGTTATATATTCTTCCACTAGCATTTAGCATGCATGCTAATATTTGATAATAAAATTTATTACTATTCATGGTATTCCCGAAAATCGCAAAGTTTGATCGTAATTAGATTTTGGCATAAAAAATCTTTTGAAAAAAAGAAATTAATAAATAATGTCAAAAAAATTATAATTTTGTATTCTTTCAAAATGTATGACAATTAAAAACAATTCGAACAATTCTTTACTGAGTTAATAATTAGTCAGAATAATAGTCAGTTATTTTAAATGTTTGTATCATAAGGGAAAACTATTCGATTTTTACGAAGAAACTTTTATTCGATCATCAATTAATCAATTAATTAATCAATTATTCAATCAGCTAATTAATTACGCGATGCAAAAAATTATAAGAATATTTGTTTATAAATATTTATAATAAAATAAACTCAATCTCTAATGACAAACTAACGTTACTACTACTTTTTCTTTTAAAAGGTAACAAATAAATTATATATATTTTTTTTTGTTTCAAATTGTCATAAAAGATGTTTCACAACAGGGCATTAAGGATAATTATTTATTTTTGGTGAACTTATTGACGATCTAAAACTCTTATCGAAATTTACAAGTCTTTTCCTGTTTTCTTAATAGAAAAAAGCCTACACATTCCTTTTTTTTTCCAATATCAACTTCTAAATTTATAAGCTTTCTTTTTTGTGATTTCAGAATGTCTCAAACTTCACAAGAATTCCAAGAAAGTGGCGGGGATGAGACTGGAGAAACAATATCACTTGAAGTTACCTCCACCTCTTCACATAGTAAAAAATCACCAGCATCAGCACAGAATGAAGAAAACGATAACCCAACTGATGATGAAACACCTTTATTATCGAATGTTGATTTCAATAGTCGTATTATTACAGTAGAAGACGAATATTTAAGTAGTACTAAATATCCTGAAGATCCGCTAAAACCGAAAGAAAGGGGAACAATATTCTCTAGCTTTTTAAATATGGCTAATAGTATTATTGGGGCTGGTATGTTGAAAAGAAATAATTAAAGGATTTTTTATAATTATAAAATAATAAATTTTAATAATAATAAATTTTAATAATAAATTTTAATAATAAATTTTAATAATAATAATAATAATAATAATAATAAATTTTAATATTTTAAATTTAATATATAGGTATAATCGGTTAGTAAACTAAATAAAGTTATCATTATAGTTTGTAGTAAAAAAAAAGAAACAATTTATTTACTTAATTTAGATTTAAAAAAATAATAGGTCTTCCGTATGCATTTAAAGAAGCAGGGGTATTTATGGGAATTTTATTATTAATTGGACTTACAATAACAGTTGACTGGACAATTCGACTTTTAGTTTATAATTCGAAATTATCAGGAAGAAATTCATATCAAGAAATAATGAATTATTGTTTTGGAAAGTCAGGATATATTACTATATCATTATTTCAATTTGTATTTGCTTTTGGAGGTATTTTTGTTTTATTTTATTTTATTTTATTTTATTTATTTATTTTAAGAAAGAAGAATTTCAATAATAATGATAATAATAATAATTACTATTATTATTTATTATTATTATTCAGGGGTTTATAATTTTGTAATTTTTTATAATTTTTATAATTTTTATAATTCTATATTCTTATATTTTTTATATTTCATTATTTAGGGATGTGTGCATTTTGTGTCATTATAGGTATTATAATTATTACAATTTAGAAATTTACAATGACAATTTCAAATAATAATAATATTAATTTTGAATTATTATTATTTATTTTATTTCTTTATTTATTCAGGAGACACAATTCCTCAAGTCATATCATCATTATTTCCTAGTATATCAAATATGACATTCTTCTATTTGTTTGCAGATCGAAATTTTATAATCATTATTTGCACTACGTTCATATCTTATCCATTAGCATTATATCGTGATATTTCAAATTTGGCTAAAGCAAGTGGATTAGCTTTAATATCAATGATTATCATTGTTGTAGGTGTTGCAATTGAAGGACCTAAAGTTGACTCCTCTTTAAAAGGTAATAAAGAATCCTGGCAATTCGTAAGGCCAGAAGTATTTCAAGTAAGTCACATATATATATATATTTATTTAATTTATATTATTAATTTTATTTTTATTATTATTATTTATTAATTAATTTTGGTAAATACAATATTTTTAGGCAATTGGAGTGATCAGTTTTGGTATACAGAAGTTATTAATTATTAAATTTATTAAATATTAATTGTTAATTATTATTATAATATTTATTTTAAATATATATTTATATTTATTTATTTATTTATTTATTTTAAGCTTTTGTGTGTCATCATAACAGTTTACTTATTTTTGATGCATTACACAAACCTACACTAAAGCGGTTTGCTGTGGTTACGCATTGGTCAACTGGAATATCTATGGTAGCATGTATGGTAATGGGTTTAACTGGATATTTGACATTTACTGATAAAACTCAAGGTAATATATTCTCATAATTAATTAATTATTAACCAAAATATTTTTAAAAATATTAATTTTTATTATTATTATTATAGGCAATATTTTAAATAATTTCCCTACAGATAATAATGTTATAAATATTGCAAGATTCTGTTTTGGGTTTAATATGTTTACGACTTTACCGTTGGAATCTTTTGTCTGTAGAGAAGTACGTTAATTTTGTTTCTTTCTAATATTTTAAATATATTATTATTAATATATATATATATATATATATATTTATTTATTTATTTATTAGTTTGTTATTTGTTTGTTTATTTGTTTATTTATTTATTATTTATTTATTATTTATTTATTTATTGTTTATTATTTATTTATTTATTATTTATTATTTATTTATTTATTATTTATTATTTAGGTAATTAATAATTATTACTTTTCTAATGCACAATTTTCTACTATAAGACATGTTTTTATTACTACATTATTGGTTGGAAGTGCAATGGGAATTTCACTTATAACTAGTGATTTAGGTGTAGTACTTGAACTTACCGGTGGATTTTCAGCTACAGCATTGGCTTATATTTTACCACCGTTGTGTTTCTTAAAATTAACTTCAGGGAAATGGTATGAATTTAAAAAAATACCTGCAATATTATGTGTGTCATTTGGATTTTGTGTAATGGTATTAAGTACTATTCTAAGTATAAGAAGTCTTATCACATAATAATTAACAAAAAAAAAAAATTTAATTAATTCGTTTTTTTTTTTTTAATTAATTAAATTAAATTATTTTATTTAAAAAGTATCTTTTTTTACAATAATTAGTATCCTAATTTGTATAGAGTCCAGATATTTTTATTGTTTTATATTTCGTTTTAATCTAATTAGATAGACAAGTAGAATTTTTTTTAAAAAATAGAGATGATTTATTTGTACAGAAATATTTGTTTATCATATTTACTATTTTTATTATTAAAATTTATTTTTATTATTATTATTAAAATTTATTTTTATTATTATTATTAAAATTTATTTTTATTATTAAATTTATTATTATTATTAAAATTTATTTTTATTATTAAAATTTATTATTATTATTATTATTAAAATTTTATTGGAATTACACATAAAAATGTCTTATCCTCTTCTAGACGAATGACATTCATTTTTGATAATATTTAGTAAATTTTCGATTATATTTATAAAATAAAATCGAGTTGATACGATAGATCGTATTTCTAAAAATAGAATCGTTAGAAATCACTTTAAATCACTTTACTAAGCTTTAATAACAGCTAAGCTTTGTTAAAAAAATAAATCAACTTAATGAGGAAAAAAAGGACAAAGCCACGAATGATGTCACGCGTATCTCTCATCTTTTTGATCTTTTTTTGATCATCTGTAGTAAGGGGCGTGGCGGCTGAGTAATTTACCAAGCCTTTTTATTATTATTATCATTATTATTATAACCACTATTATTATAATAAGTATGGCTTAATAATTTTGTGTTTTATTATTTTGACAGTTTTAAGGCTAAGAAAAATTTATATATTTTTAAGGCGAAGGGTAAGGCGATGCACTATATATATATAATAATAATAATTTGGCTTTACATGGCTTGTTATATATATATATTATTTGTTAAATAAATTAAAAAATTTTATTATGATAATTTGTTGTATAATATAATATTATCTTCTATATTGTTTGTCTTGTCTTTGAAGAAATTAAAAAGCCTCGTGTGATGTATCTAAAAATTGATAAATTAAAGATTTCATTAATTTTTTTTTCAAAAAAAAAAAAAAAATTCTAAACAGAAAATCTTCGATAATTTAATGGCGGCTTAACGATACTTCAGCCACCACCATACTTACAATATACTTTTTTTTATCAATTTATTAGGCAATTATACAGTATATTATCAAGATCATCTACGTCACTTTAAAAGGCCAAAGAAAGATTTAAAAACTTAAAATAGAAAATTACTTAAATTCTCCGTTCAAACAACAAAAAGCCACCTTAATATTATTTTATTTCTTTAAAGACATGGCTGTGTATTATTTATTAAACATAAGATTGATCGAAAATAAATAAAAGATTTCTATTATTTATATTCGGTTCAAAATTTCTATAAAAACCATCTGCATTTCCCTTCTCTGATTTTTATCCTCGTTCACTCAAATAAATAATAACCATAAGTATAATATATACTTAAAATGAAATTTAATTCAATCCTTGTTGTGTTAGCTTTCTTAGCTTCAACTACTGTTGCGGGTAAGTCAAAATAAATTAATAATAAATAATTTGCAACAAATAAATTTTAAATTCTTAAATAAATGATTACATTCATTACTTTTTAATAGCTCCCTTCGATAAGAAGGACGCAAGTCCTGAAGCCAACAGAGAAAAACGTGAACCTGAAGCCAACCGACAGAAACGTGAACCAGAACCTAACCGACAAAAACGTGAAGCCGATGCTGATGCCGAAGCAGATCCATACTACTACTACTACAACTACTACTACAAACGTGATCCTGAAGCAAACCGACAGAAACGTGAAGCCGTCCCTGAGCCCGAAGCAGATCCATACTACTACTACAGCTACTACTACTACAAACGTGATCCTGAAGCAAACCGACAGAAACGTGAAGCTGTCCCTGAGCCCGAAGCAGATCCATACTACTACTACTACTACAAACGTGATCCCGAAGCAAACCGACAAAAACGTGAAGCCGTTCCTGAACCCGATGCAGATCCATACTACTACTACTACTATAAACGTGATCCTGAAGCAAACCGACAAAAACGTGAACCAGAAGCAAACCGACAAAAACGTGAACCAGAACCCAACCGACAGAAACGTGAACCAGAACCCAACCAACAAAAACGTGAAGCCAATGCTGATGCTGAAGCTGATCCATACTACTACTACAACTACTACTACAAACGTGATCCTGAAGCCAACCGACAGAAACGCGAACCAGAAGCCAACCGACAGAAACGCGAACCAGAAGCCAACCGACAGAAACGCGAACCAGAAGCCAACCGAGAGAAACGCGAACCAGAAGCCAACCGAGAGAAACGCGAACCAGAAGCCAACCGAGAGAAACGTGAACCAGAAGCCAATCGACAAAAACGTGAAGCCAATGCTGATGCTGAAGCTGATCCATACTACTACTACTACTACAAACGTGATCCTGAAGCAAACCGACAGAAACGTGAAGCTGTCCCTGAACCCGAAGCAGATCCATACTACTACTACTCATACTATTACAAACGTGACGCAAACCGACAGAAACGTGAAGCCGTCCCTGAGCCCGAAGCAGATCCATACTACTACTACTCATACTATTACAAACGTGACGCAAACCGACAGAAACGTGATGCCGAACCCAAACCATACTACTACTACTATTACTAAAAAGGATTATTTCTTTAAAATTTTATATAGTCTTTTTTCACTTTATCAAACTATTGTTTTTTTTAAAAAAAAAATGTATATAAATTTGTAAATAGCCAATTTTTTTCTAAATAATTATTGAGTAAATTCCTTTTTTTTTTTCCAACTGTACATACGAACTTTTTATTTGTTTTATCATACTGTGTTAAACAATCAATTTAACCATCTTTATTGACCAATCTTCATATAATAAAGACAAAATATAACGTATTATATTTGCTGCTCTTTTAACATCAAATGCAAAATATTATTGACGTGATAATTCGCGATTGTATTATATTAATTCATTATTATTTTAATGTAAATATTACATTATTATTATGTTATTAGTTTGAAAGTTGGCTATGAAAAAAAATCTTTGGCTATAGTAGAATAAATTCCTAAAGACAATAAATTATATTTTGATCTATTAGAAAAAAATGATTAAATTGGAGTATATAAAAATTAAATATATAAAAACAATAGGTGTAATATATATATGCTATTATAAAAAGGTCCCCGAAATTTTTTATGAAATATATAATATAATATAATGTAATATAAAAAAGTGAAATGCACAAAAAAAAAATCAGTTAAACGAAGAGTTTTCATTAGTTTAACCATCTTTATTACTAGCTTCTTTGACCAATTTTCATAAAGACAATATATAAAACCACTTTACACGTTTTAGATTTGCTGCGCTTTTAACATATCATTAAATTAATTAAAATGCAAAATATTATTGATGCGATTGTATTATATTATTATGATGTAAATATTACATCATTATTATTATTATTATTATTATTATTATTATTATTATTATTATGTTATTGGTTTGAAAATTAGCTATAAAAAATTCTCTGGCCAAGAATAAGATTAAATTAGTGTATACAAAAATTTAAATAATATATAAATAAATAAGTGAAAGGTGTATATAAGATGTATATATAAATAAATATGCTATTATAAAAGGAAAAGGTCACGAAATTTTTATGAAATAGTGAAAAAAAAAACTGTACAACTCGAATTGGGATTACCATTAATTATTTGAATGAGGCGAAAAAGGTAAGTTATATTAGTATAAAAATTAAATTAATTAGTTAAATAAAAATAAACCAAGAATAATAATATAAAAAGAAATATTTTAAATATTTAAATAGATCACAAATTACTAATTAACCCCAATATCGATTAAAAAAAAAAGAAATGCATAAAAAAAAAAAAACTTGTTTTATATTTCTAAAAATTCTGGATGTTTTGTAAAATCTGGTAACTTTCCTAACATATCAACCCATTCTTTAAGTGTTCCTTCATCCAACATATAATTAGCTCGTCGACAATTGCCTTTGATATCAATGTGTTTATTTGTAAAAAATTCATCATCAAACTCATCTTCGATTTCATCTTCATAAGAAAAAGTATATTCTTTTATTTTAGTAGGTGAAGGAAGTGATATTATAGGTACATCACGACTATGTTGTGAACTATAGGAATTATGACTACGATGAGAAGAAGAGGAAGAATTGGAAGAAACAGAAGAAAGACGGGAAAAAGATTGGCGGGAGAAATCACTCTTGTTATCATTAGCTACAGGTTCCGGAATTACTTTACGTATCCAATCTCCTGTTCGTTTAACAGCATTTATGGCTGCGGGGTGAAAGATGAAAATTTGAAATACATGTGGCATTGCTCTATTATAGAAATCATAAAAAGATGTAATTTTTAATATAAAATTAATAAAATCAATAAGTAAATCATTGAATGAGGTATTAATAATAATTTAAGAATATACATACTCGAATACATTAAGGCTCACTTTTGATGGAGGATAAGTGCGTTGACCTTCTTTCTTCGGTACTTTAAAAACATTGGGATGTGTCTTCGCAGCCTTATGGGCAAATAGTATAGATTCATCTCGTAGTCTTTCACAATCTCCACATGTCTATCGTAAATAATTAATCGAAATAGTATTATTTTACGAATTATTATTGTTGTTGTTTTCGCGAACCATCGAAATAAAAAAAAAAAAAAAAACATACAATAAAAATTTCTCCTAAACCACCCAAATCTTCAGCTAAGATTGGAGACACGTAGGGAATAGTTAAGGCAGAATTGAAAGCATAATATTGAACTCTTGCTAATCTATCATTAATATTTTTATAATCTTTTATTGGATTGGCGGGAGAAGCTTTATGCACAAATCCATTTGGTACATAATCAGTTGCATGATTGGAAGATATCGATGGCAATGAATGAAAAAGATCAACCCTAAAAATGAAAATGAAAATAAAACAATATAATTACTTATACCGTGTAATTTCTCTTTTTAAGTTTAATGTAAAAAAGGTGTTTACCATGGAGACCAACAAGCAGCACCGACTGGTTGAGGAAGACAGGCATCTCGAAGAACCAAAAGAGTTGATAATGCGAGACCACCACCAGCTGAATCACCCATGATAATAATATTTTTAGGATTTATTGGCTCAAATCCAGCATCGGCCGGAGGTTGTGTTAGATAAAAATAAGCAGCCAATGTATCCACAAGAGCAGCCGGGAAAGGCGATTGCGGAGCTAATCTATAATCAAAGCTGTAATTGACAGTAGATAATTATTAATTAATATTGAATAATATAATTAGTATAATTAAAATAATATAATTAATACAATTAAATAATATAATTAATATTATAATTAAAATAATATAATTAATATAATTAAAATAATATAATTAATATAATTAATTAATATTTATTCCAATCAATATTTTAACAATTAATTACCTGAAAGCACGTGCAGCTCCAGCTTTAGCAACTTTTTGAATTAAGAAACGATGTTGTGCGGCACTTCCCATGAAATAAGCACCACCATGAATAAATAGGATTACTCGATCAGCATCAGTGAACTTCTTTCTCGTTTTTGATTCAACCCATTCACCTTTTAGTGGGTTCCGTTTCATTGGATCTTCCTTCCATCGCCAACCAACTTTTTCTTCTTGACCACTTAATAAACCTGCCATAATATCTTCAGCTTGAGAACGACATGTTTCAGGTATAGTTGCTTTTGTTATTGAAGTGGAAGGACCAGAAGGGAGGTAAGCTTTACCCAAGAATTTTTGTTGTTTTTCTATTGTTTTGTGTTTTGATCTCTCTAGAAAACTTCTAAGCATGATAACTCCCAAATGAAGTTTTAAATCCCAATTCCTTTTTTTTTTAAAAAAAAAAAATAAATTAAATATTTTATTTTTTATATATATATTTTCTACAAAAATTTTCCAAAAACTTACGAGTCCGGGACTTCATTTTTAAAATGTTTATATACAGTATTAAGAAACAGAGGAGTCAGAGTTACAATGTCTTTAGGGTCAACAGCCATTTCTCCTCTTGAAAATAGTCGTTTTTTAAGAACGTTACTTTTCGCACTACCAAAAGAACTATTGCCAATACTAGATAGACGGATATTAAGTTTGAACAAATAATTTGTAACACACCGAGCTTTGGACAGAACGTTACGTATTTTACCCCCCAAAATAAAAAAATAAAAAGAAAAAAAGAAAAAAAGAAAAAAAGAAAAAGAAATGACACTTTCTTATAATTGAGACGGAAAAACTTTAGCCAAGAATGTGTACTGTATATTTATATTGGGTATATGCAAATAATATATTCTTTCATGTATATCTAAATTATTCTATTAATGTAATAATATAATGATAATATGTATAAAACAATAATGCAAAATTTTTTTTTTCTTTCTCATAAAATTCGTAAAATTCGTTAGAAAGATTATAATATTTATGTAAAATTTATGTAACGGAGGGGTCAGTATATATAGGTTTATTGTTATATTGTTTATATATATAGGGTTTTACATATATATTGTTTATTTATATATATAATGTTTCGCATACAAATAATACAAATAATACGTAATGTATGTACAATTTTATATGAATTATGTATTACCTTTTACTACATTCAAGAACAAAACCTAGGATTTTTCTTTTGTATCTATAATCATCTATATGGAGAAATGATTTGACCATGTGATGAAATGAAAAGAAGCTCAGAATATCAAACATTGATTTACTTTTTCTGTTATATATTTGATTGTGGGGATCAAAAGGTTGGTCGATCACTAAAATCATGAATGAAAAAGATGAATCTTCTCTATACATATTATAACGATAGAATTTTCTTATTTTTGACAAAAATATATAGCATTTATTAAAAATTGGAACATTCACTCCTGACGATCATTTAAATAATTTAGTGAATTAAAAAAAAAACATAACATCATCATGAAAAATACTTTTTTTTATGTGAATGAAAAGTTAAATGGTCAATCGAAATCTTTTTACCTAATTGACAAAAAAAATAAAAATAAAAATAAAAATAAATAAAAATAAAAATAAATAAAATAAAAATAAATAAAATAAATTGGTTTTTATTTAATAATAAAAAATATACAATGGTAAAAATATACAGTGATTAAAATATACAATGACATTATCGTTTTCATATGAAATATTTATAATATTTCTTTAATGTAGTTTTTTTTATAAAGGAATGAAATTATTTATTCTTAGGATACATCTTTTCCATTTTTATAGCGAGAGGGTTAAAAATTTCGTGGGCATGAATTTCGATAACTCTCAGAGGATCATTTGGAATTAACTCGTTGTCATATCGTTTTTTTGATTTTGGTTCGAAAATTTCTTGAGCATGAATTTCAATTTCACGTAAAGGATCATTCGGAATTAGCTCGCTTAAATGCCGATCCTGTTTTGGAACTGTGAAATATATACATGGTAAATATATATAATGGTAAATATATATACTATAATAATGTTATAATATATATATATATATTTATTTTGATTTAAGAGAGTAGATATTATTGCATTGTCATAAACATACAAGATTCAAAAATTTCAAGAGCATTCTTCTCGATATCAAGAAATGGATCGTTTGGAATAAATTTAGATTGTAAATGTGCCATGGTTATTTAGAAAAAAAAAAACTTTTTTTTTTTAAACAAAAGTAAATTTCAATATTGTAGAAAAACAATTATTTGTGAGAACCTTTTTATAACATTTTTAAAGCCTATAACTTTAATATGACATCAAATATTTATTAATAATTTGTGTGGGAAGAAAAAAATCACTCCACAGAATTTCGCGCTTAAAGATATTACCATATGACTCTGTGGTATGACGTGACATAAACTTTAGATATTTATGGTAGGCCTGTAAAATCTGGTGATATAGTTGAAACACGCGAAAAAAAAAAAACCATGTAATATATCCAATTTTGTAAGTCAATTATACCAGTATATACTGGTATTGGCAGCTTTTTTTCTTCTGAACTTGAACTAGTTATATAATAATGATAGTTCATAAAATTTAACATTCTAGAAAATTCTTTAATATTTTCAAAGTCATCGATATTAAACGTTATCTTCTAAATTTAAAAGGAACCCCGGTTGGTACCACAGTTACTGGTTCCAGTGGTGCAACTAATCGAAGTGTTAGACAAGAACCGAAATTTTTGATGCTCTAATGTAGACGTTGGTGGTAGTTATGGTAGTAATGGAAAATTATATGGCAAGGGAAAGTTTATACCGTTACTTTTGTAAAAAAATATTTTTATAAAAATAAGGGTATATGCATAAATAAAAATTTGCATATTATGAAAATTTATAATTTATTATTATTTCATTATTTATCTATTATCCATCTAAAATTTAATTTTAAGAGAATACGAAAGATAATCGTATTGTAGCAAGAGAAAGAATGAGTGACCACAAAATAATAATCACAATTTTCCAAACGGACGTATCAGGTAATAATATTCTTTTTGACTGTAAAACGCTAGTACAATGTGTATCAAAATAGATATAGAGAGCATTTATGGGAAACGTAATACAACAACTTAAAATTAAGACAATGCAACTATTATTAATAAAAATAATATTTTAGTATCGAAAATATTTAAAATATATATATTTTTTTTTAAAAAAAAAAATAATAATACAAATGTAATATAATTTTAAATATACCTTCGACTATCCGTCATGAAAATCGTAGAAAAACAGTTTCCAAAAATATGAACAGCTGACGAAAAAATCAATAATAAAAATTGCTGTGGATGTTGAATAATAGTTGGTGAGATACTTGAATCATCTTCAAATGGTAAATGTTCATCTTCATTTACTAAGGGAAGTTGAGCTGAAGCTAATCCTTCAACATATTCTCGCGTAGATTTATAAATACGTGTTAGAACGATATAAAATCCAAAATCCAAACATAATCCTATAATTTATATATATAATTTATATAATTTAATTAATTAATGATTTAGGAAGATTTCTTTTTTACCTTTTCTTTCAAAAAGAGATAATATCAAAAAAAAATGAAACTTTAATTATTATTTGATTTACCTTGTGCTTTAAACCATGTTCCATCTATGGGCCAAGGTAAAGCAATATCCAACAAATTTACTATGAAAATATAACATCCCATAATAGCATAAAAATAATTTGATGTAATTTTTCCACCTTGAAGAAGTAATAACATCATTGCAAGTTCAAAAGCATTATGAAGAACAGCAAATGCTGAAAACAACTTTCCAGTATCAAGTAAATAAAGTGCAACTCCGGAAATAAAAGTAAAAGTGATATAATATGCAATAAGTATATTAAAGAAGTATGCGGTAGTTCTGCTTCCATTCTCTTGATATATATAAGTAATAACTTTTTTTGGCAAATCTTTTTTGGATGCCCAGATGAATGCATAAATTGATGATAAACCATTCGTAATTATTAAAAACCAAAGTGAAGTATCATAGGATTCTTGATCAAAATCTAATATAAAAATTCAAAATATATGTACAAAAGTTACATTTCGATTCTTAGCGAAATATAATAAAAAAGAATTCTCGTTATTCAATAGAAATACAAACGATGAAGTTTGCCGTGCCATGTTAGATATCCAGTAAAACGTGAACGCTCCTGTTTAGGAAATTCATTTTTTGTGAATTTAAAAGATATAAGTAAAATCAATACAACTATAACATAAAGAGTTATATAAAAATAAGCTCGAAAAGACATTATTATTTTTTTTTAGGGAAAAAACTAAAATTGAATTCAAAATTTTTTTGGGAATTTATTTATGTTTGACGTTTCAGTAAATGCAACCCTTTGCGTTGTTGTCTAAATTTGATATATGCACGTGATCAAAGTGTACTTAGTTTTGTGAACACGAATTACATTAATTATTCCTTCAAAGAAAACCAAAAAAAAATAAAAAATTGCGTCGATAAGTCAGTGATATTTATTTCGTCTGAAAATTTTATATGGTGTAATTTAAAAATCTAGAGCTCGAATGAAAATTGTTACTCATTAAGAAACTGTATCGAAAAGATTTTATCAGCTGTTAGTCTTGTTGCTACAATTGAATTTTTCGGTGGCAAAGAGTAGAAATGCGGCGGTAATAATAAAAGTAAATTTTATCATTATTTCCTTGATTTAAATCAATAAGAATTAGAAGGATTTCTGAACTTCTGAAACAGCTTTTAATTATCAAACTATTGCTGTCAAAGATCCTTTAAAGTTTTAGGAATTTTCACAATTTCTCCATAATGATAAATGATGCAATTGAATTTCTGCATTTCCATAATCTTTGTAATTTCTTCTTGAAAACCGCAGTCAAAGAAAATTTTATTAATTATTCTCTATTCTTTTATTTCATTTTTGTAAATCTTTTTTAAAGAACATCACATGATCTTGAAATTGAAATAATAAGCCTCTTCATAAGCCTCATAACTCTGCCACAATATAAATCAAGGGAAAAAAGTGAGTTACAGTTAATTTGACAGTAACGTAAAGATGAACTTTTTAGTTGGAGCTTCCGAAAACGCTATTTCTCTAGAGAAATTGCGCGAAGTTCTTATTCGACTTGAAGATACAATTATATTCGGTACGACTTATGTAAAATAAAGTTTGTATTATAGGTTCTTTTTATTAATATTTCGAAAAAAATTATAGCTTTAATAGAAAGAGCACAGTTCGCGCATAATGAGGTAATTTATAAACCGGGAATGTATAAATATGAAGGAAGTGAAGAATTTAATGGAAGCTTCTTAGAATATTTTTTACGAGAATCAGAAAAAGTGCACGGTATGTAATAAAAAACTTGTAGATAACTCAATACAAAATTAATAATAATTTACTTTATATTTTGTTTAACAGCAAAAGTGAGACGATATCAAAGGTAAAAATGATCATAGAATTGTTCATCTGATTATTATTTAATTTATTATTTTAATTTATTTAATTTGTTATTTAATTTATTTAATTTATTATTTAATTATTTAATTTATTATTTAATTACCTAACTTTTTTTTTTTTGGTTTTAAAAGTCCGGACGAATATCCGTTCACTCATCCCCTCCCAGATCCAATTATTCCACCTTTAGAATACCCGAAAGTTCTTAAGAAAAATGATATTAATGTTAATCCAAAAATACTAAAATTTTATCTTGAACATATCGTTCCGGCTTTATGCGTTCCTGGGACAGATCTAAATTATGGTTCATCAGCAACTAGAGATGTCGCGTGCCTTCAAGCTTTATCACAAAGAATTCATTATGGTATGGGATAATATTAGTTTGTAATTATTAAATTAAAGATTTACCATTAATTTATTTATTTTATTTTTTTCTTTTTAATTCAAAAGGAAAATTTGTCGCAGAAGCAAAATTTCGAGATCCAAACCTTCAATCAAAATATATTGAGCATATAAAGTCTCGTAATTCAGAAGCTATTGAAGAATTATTAACTAATAAAAAAGTCGAAGAAGCTTTATTGAAACGTCTTAGACATAAAGCTCTCATTTATGGACAAGATGTTACAGATTCTGGTTCTTTAAACAATTCACCAAAGATAAATATCGATATTGTTGTTGAATTATATGAAAAGTGGGTAATTCCATTAACCAAAGATGTTGAAGTCCAATACCTTTTGTCACGACTTGACTAAGATTGAACATTTAAAAAATAATGGTTTGTAATGTACATATTGATTCTATACAAAAACTTCACGCATTTACATTTATTTATTGTAAAAAAAAAATATATCGGCATGCATAAATATTGTTTACTTGATAGATTGGCGTATTTTCATGTAGCATTTATTTATTATATTCTCTTTGCCTTATCAATAATTAAGAATTTATTCTCTTTGCCTTATTAATTCTTAAGCATTTATTTATTATATTTCCTTTATCATATTAATGCTTAAGTCCTTATTTAATTTATATGATTACAGAAAAGCTACGTATAATATCTAATGCACGTTTTGACAGGATCTAATTTCAAAGCAAGGAATGAATTCAAATGATAATAATTACATTGTTACGCTCAACATTTTAATTGGAAATTTTATTTGATCAAAAACTTTTATTAAATGTTATAATTAAGAATTTGATCTACTCAAACAGTCACGTGCAATAATATTAATGAATATGCACAATTTGAAAATTCAGAAATTAAGTGATTTGATAGCGTTAGTCCTGATTTTACTAATTAGAAAAATTTATAATAATTGTACTCTTGAATTTATTACTGCTTATCTTCTTAATTGGAAAAATAAGACAAGAAACTTTAACAATGATTCAATTATACCTAAAAATTCTATAAAAATGTTTTCAACAAATTTAAAAAGGTTTAAAATTTTCCATATCTTATTAATTTTTTTTTTATTGAAGGATTTGGACAATTTCAAAAATAAAACTTCTAACCCAAAAAGAAAGTAAATCTGATTATTCAAATTGATATCAAGAAAATTTTCCTCTTGTTATTGCCGATTGTTTTCACAATCTTTATAAAATCGGTTTTTGTTCCGCTGTCGCTACCTTCATAATACGGTATAAACGGTTTAATCCAAATCAATATAATTATAATGACCTTGGCAAACGTAAAAGAAACAAAAAATTAATTCACTTTTCAAAATCTCAAGAAATTATTGAAATTAAACAAAAAATGTTATCAAGAAAAATTTCCTCTTGGCTATTATTTGTACAATATTTATAAAATCGATTTTGGTATAAACAGTTCAATCAATGCTAGATTTGTTTGGCAAACTCTTGGTGAAAAAAATTCAACTTGCGGCAAATTCCAAGTTCTATAAAATTGGTTCTAACTTGTTATTTGATGTCACGTGATTGTACGGTAATTCACTAACTTTTGGTGATAAAACTCAAGTTTTGAACTTCATTTATATGAATTCATAGTAGAAAAAGTAGACAATTTATTATGACTCATTCAGATCAAGGACGTTCTCGATGTTTCATGTTATTCCGAAGAATTTATATGGGATGGCGTAATTATTTTGTGATGTATTACCATATCACTAATTAATATGATATTAACATATAAAACGAGCGAACTTTAGGTAATTATTAAAGGCCTCTGTTGGTGTCGGTACATTATATTTTGAGCAAAGTTATTTCTTTATTTTATTAAAATTATAAAATACATATATTAGTAATATTGTTATTTATAAAATATTATTTCGAGAATAAAAATATTATTGATAATAATATAATAATAATATTCAGTTCCATGTGACTCGTACGAATAAGAGTTTAATATTTATCTGTAAAAAAAAGAGGGGAAAATTTTTTTTCATTGTTGATATAAAAGGCAACATGTTTGAAACATTTTCCAGAATTGAACAATCATTCTTGCTCTCTTTTCATTCTCGAAAAATTTGGTTATCTACGAATATCGAAATTCAACGGTCAATACTTTTATTTGGACCATCTGGAATAGGTAAGTTCTTTGGCATTTTTATTCACTTTCTATTCATATCTATTCATATCTATTCATATCTATTCACTTATAATTTAGGAAAGACTCACATAATTTCTAATTTATGTTCTAAATACAAAATTAAGGTTAACATTAGAATTTCTAAATTTCCGCTTATATATGTATATATAATAGTTTTTTTTTGTAATTAACAGATTTTTTGTATATTCATTGTCCAAAGCTATTTAGTTTAACAATTGGTGATTTGGCTAAAGAATTTCCAGCTGAAAAAGAAAATGGTTTAGGAAATTATTTTCTTTTGGCTCGTAATAATCAACCAAGTGTATGTAAGTATTTTTATATTGATGATATGATAACATTTTTTTTTTAAAAAAAAAAAAATGCAAAAATCTTTTTAATTAATCTTATTCAAAAGTGTTGTTAGAAAACATTGAATTATTCTTTCCGGCGGATAATGAACCTTTATTGTCATTTTATTTTTGTGAATTATTAGAGAATTTTATTACACAAGATGTGGAAGTTTTAATCGTGAGTAATTTATTGGAATTTATTGTTATTTGATGATATGTGTTTTCGAAGGAATTTTCTGATTAAAATATGATTTAAAAACTATTCTTAAGGTTGGCACTACAACCAATTTAAATTCAATAAATCCAATTGCTCGTACAATATTTCAAGTAAGTTTGGAAATGTTTACGTATCTAAATTAAAACTCATGAATTTAATTAAATTTAATTAAATTTTAAATTTAGGATGAAATTGAATTTGATATTCCTACTCCTATCGAACGTTTAGATATTTTTGGATTTTATATAAAAGATTTAGATCTTGCGGATGGAATAAATATTAAAAAAATTAATGAAATGTGTCATGGATTTATTGCAGCGGATATTGTTTGTTTATGTAGAATGGCTTCAGAGATGGTAAACATTCGTAGCATTGAACAAACAGGTTCGATTATTGATTTAGAATCAACTTGTTTAATTTACACTATTGGATTACATTATTATTATTAGTTGATTATATTAACAATTTTTTGGATTATTGCATTAGGAGAACCAGGACAATTAAAAATTACTAATCAAGATTTTAAGGATAGCTTTAAGAAAATAAATATTAGTAGTTTACAAAAAAGAAATAACATACAAAAGGTTGAATCCGTAAAATGGGAACAAATTGGTGGTTTGAATGAAGTAAAGGTAAAAATAAAATGATGAAATCATTGTTATTAAATATTATTATTAAAGTATTATTTTACAAAAAGAAAATGGAATAATGGAAACAAAACCTATGATTTAATTACTTTATTTCAGAAAATATTAGAAGAATCAGTAATATGGATATACAAGCACGCTGATGCTTTTCGTCGTTTGGGAATTAAACCTTCAAAAGGAGTTCTTTTGTAGGAATATTTATGTCTACAATATGTGAAAAAACAATATTGATTGAAAGTGATCAAAAGTGATTAAAGTGATTAATTATGTTTATTTTCTAGATATGGTCCACCAGGAACTGGAAAAACCTTACTTGCAAAAGCTGTTTCCACTGAATCTTCAGCACATTTTATTCCAGTATCAATTCCGGATTTAATTAAAAGCGAGGTTAAAATAAAATTAATAAATATCATATATATAATATTGTTTATATATTGTTTACATTTCCTTTTTATTTTTATTAGATAGGCGAATCAGAGAAGGCAATAGAAAATATATTTAAAATTGCTCGTCAATGTAGTCCGTGCATAATTTTTTTGGATGAATTGGAAGCATTATTTGGAAATCGAGAATTTAGTGGTGGTTTAGGAAAAAAGGTTGAATAATTTTATTTTTTTTTAAAAAAAAAAATTTTTTAAAAGATATTTCAAAAGTTAAATTTCGAATTCCTTTTTTTTTCTTCATTTTAGTTAATTTCACAATTATTATTAGAGTTAGATCAATTAGATACAGTTGATCAAGGAATTGTTATTCTTTCTGCAACTAATAGTCCAGGTTCTATTGATCCTTCTTTACTTAGGCCAGGTGAGAAAAAAAGAAATTACAAAAGGCAATATATGAATTCCTACATTGATTTTACATGAATTTCTATATGTAGGAAGATTGGATAGACTTGTCTATGTGCAACCACCAAATTTCAAGGAGAGAAAATCAATATTAACAATTTTAAGCAATACAAAAATAAAAATTTCCAATGAGGTCAATTTAGATGAAATAGCCAATCGAACAGAAAACTTTACGGGAGCTGATATTAAAGGATTATTACAGCGAGCTGCATTGTTAGCGATTAAAAGATGCAAGAAAAAGAAGAGTAGTAGTGATAATAAAGAAGATAATAAAGAAGAGGGGGAGGAGGTAAGGTGATCTTTTATAACTTTAAACCTTCTATTTATATTAATATAATTTATTTATTTTTTTTTTATTATTATCACATCTCGAAAAACAAAAGAAAAGGATTAATCAATCGGATTTTTTAAATGCACTATTAAATTGTAAGCCTTCTATCAGTTGTGCACAACTTGAACAATATCAAAAGTTTGAAGAATCAATATATAAAATTTCATAAATTTCTATGTAGAAATAATTTTATTTGATCAAATGAATTTAAATGAATTGAAATTTAATGTCTACTTATCAAAAGTTTGAAGGATCAACATGTAAAATTTCATGAATTTCTATTTAGAATGATTAAATGAATTGAAATGAATTGAAATGACACGCATTTCATTGATTTTTATTTCTATCTAAATCCACATGTTTTTTAGCTTTAGCATATGCAAAATAAGCTAATAACTCTGGGTATACACCTTCGATTAATCTAATAAGTTTATCTCTGTTTGTAAATAAAATTTCTTTATCACCTCGACTTATACCTTCAATTAAAATTCGAGCACATTCTTCAGATGAAACTGCATCACTTAAATCTAATTCTCTGGGATTAGAACCTAATCGATTTTGATTTATTTCCGTCCTGACGGATCCCTGACAAATAATGATAATATTATTATTTTTAGAGATATTAAAAAAAAAAAAAAAAAAGAATTTATTAATTATTTCTTTTTTTAATAGTTTTAAAGAATAGCTTTAAGAATGGTAATCTTTCTTACGGGATAAGCCATCGTGATAAAAATTTCATCTTTCCAAAGTTCCGACTGTAAACTTTCAAAAAATCCTCTCAAAGCAAATTTTGAAGCAGCATATCCTGTTCTTAATGGTATGGGAATGATTCCAATTATAGAATTAACCACTAAAATTCTTGACTTTTTATTGTTTTTCAAGAGTGGTAAGGCTTTATGTGTTACATTTGTTGAACCGAAATAATTAATGTCCATAATCTTTTTGATTATACTGTAATCAGTATCTTCGAATTGTTCACCCATAGAAACACCTGCATTCAATATTATACAATCTAATCGATCAAAGGTGGTCTTAATAATTTCGAACATTTGAGATACTTCAGATTCATTAGCTATATCGCATTTTACTTTCAAAACTTTAACAGAATCATTAATTTTTCGACATTCTTCAGCAACATTTGATAACATTTCATCACGACGAGCACAGATTATAACGTTGGCTCCATTTTTAACGCATAAGTGAGCCAAAGATTTACCGATACCACTTGATGCACCAGTAATTAATATAACTTTTTCGTTGAAAGACCAAGGTTGAGCAGAATTTAGACGTTTACGACGAAAATATACGTTCGCCAAATAAAGAACTGGGTAGATTAATGTGAAAAATACGAATACTAATGGTCCAGTGAACGATGCAGCAATAACGAATGATACGAATATAATTGTAAAATAAACCATTTTTGAAATTTTTTTTTTTTTTTTTTAAAAAAAATTCTGTTGAATTTTTATGACTCTTATATAAAAAAAAAACAAATCGGAAATAATATATTTAGAACAAATAAAAATCAATCGAGAAAGAAACTTTCAATACTCGGAAATTTAATTAAAGGTATGTATAACTTCATGTGCAATCATGCAAAATTTCAAATTATTTCAACAAATAAACGACATCAAATTTTTCACATGAAAAAATGAACAATCGGGTATAAACAAAACTAATTTCTTTATAACTATAGTGGTGCCTTTATTTATTATTAAATACAAGTTTTCATTGTAAAACAGAATATCAATTTAATTATTAATTATTTATTCATGTGAATTCGCAAGACACAATCTCATACATCATTCATATTCACCGCGATCACCAACTTTTCATTTTCAATACCATTAATCATAATAACAACCAGGATTATATTCTTCTTCCTCCAAATTGTCAAAGTTATAAAAACAATAAATTTCACATTTTTTTATCAAATCATTTGGCTTCCCTTCTCTAACTATTCTTATCTTCCAATTATTGTAATTTTCCATTGACCTTAAAAATTTTTTTCGTAAATTTTCATCAATGATTTTTAAATAAAGTGTTGGTTCGCCACAAAAAATAACGAATTCTTTCAAATATTCAAAAATTGGCTTCATCACCGAAGATATCAACCAAAAAATTCTAATATCTAATCTCGTAAATTGTGAAATCTATTATTTAAAATCTCACGGATCACATGATTTTACACGTTGTTGGACAAAATTTATTTCTATTAAAACGTAAATAACGCAAAATTTTATTATAAAACCTACTTTAAGTCATTGATTAAAGTTGTTCAGAATATAAAAAAAAAGTTTTAATATATCTAGTTAAGGTAAAAAAAACCCCACCAACATATATATTATATTATAAATCGTGTAACTCTAATATAATTATGATCGTCAGCGAAATTGAATAATTAAAAATTCTTTAAAATCCAGTGCATAAATACTATCTCCGAAGTCCGAGAAAATAACCTTTTACATCATTGAAAATAAAAGACTTTATAAAAGATTTTTCATTTATGATAACAAAAAACTAAAAAAAAGAAATTTATTGCCATATATATTATATCATAATGATTGTCAGCGAAGCGGTGGTTGCACCTAGTTTGTATTGATAAACCAAAGATAGTATAAAACGATTGGTGATGACGATTAGCAAATAATTACAAATGTGACAAAAATGCATTTTTCTAAATATAATTGATTGAATATTGAGATTTAATTCATTTGGAAATCTGTTCACCACCATTATCTAAAGATTTGATTAAAATTTTTTGAAACGGTAAATCAAATGGGAGAAGATTTTCAATAAATAGCGAAGAATTATTCGAAGATCATGATCGCTTGTTTTAACGGAAAATCCACCCTCATAATTAATTTTTTTAGTGGATCGAGCAAATTTTAAAATAACTCATGAATCAACGAAGCATTGTAGCGTGAAATATAACAATAACCATATTTTATGTAACTTTAATCTAATCAAACAAAAAAATGTAATTATCAAATAGTCATATTATTAGTACATCAATTTTGAATCTTTTTTCGATAAAACCACATGATATAAAAAAGAGAAGATCTCGCATCTTGCATCTCGCACAACAAACAATCTTACAATTTTCTAAATTAAGATAATAAAGATGTTTAATACGGAATTTTTTCACCCCTTCCATTCATCGTTTATTTCTACTTTCAAGTGTTCCTTTTTTTTTTTTGAAAATTGCTGAAATAAAAACTGTAGTAAAAAAAAATCAAAAAAAAAATGGCAGCTACCGAAGATTTTATTAATAAGCTTTCACCAAACTTTTTGATTTCACCCGATAAGACTTATGCCACTTTAAATGTTCCTATCGAAAAATCCGAAAATGATGATAGAGAATATAGATTAATTAAATTGGCAAATGAATTAGAAATTTTATTGATTCATGATCCGAATACTGATAAATCAAGTGCCGCAATGGATGTTAAAATTGGACAGATTCATGATCCGGTAAATTAAAAAATCATTTTTTTTTATAACATTTTTTTTTAGTATTTTTAAAGAAAATTTTATGTAATATGTATTTAGCCAAATCTTCAAGGTCTTAGCCATTTTTGTGAACATTTACTGTTCATGGTAAGTTTATTTACAGCACATTGATTTATTTTTAACACTATTTAATATCTTTTGATTGATTATCTTGTGATTTTATTTTTACAGGGAAGTGAAAAGGTATTTTATTTCTGATCTATATAATTACGCACACTCACAAAAATTACATACAAAATAATAAAAAAAATAAAAAATAAAAATCTAATATTTTGTTTTAATAAATTGATTTTTAATAATTTTAATAATTTTAATAATAATCTTGTTAAAAGTATCCAAAAGATAATGAATACACTGAGGTATTTGTGATTATTTTGTCATGCATCACTTTTGTAATTTTATTATGATTTTTGATATCAATTATTCTATATTATCCATCTATTTATATATCTCTCTCTATCTCCCTCTCTTTATGTATATAGTACTTAATTAAACATAATGGAACTAGTAACGCATATACAGCTCTTGATAATACTAATTATCATTTCGAAGTTAGTCATGAATATTTGGAAGGATCCTTGGACAGGTGTAATATAAATATTTATATTTATTTATACTTGTTTACATTTTATTTATATATTATATTTATTTTTATTATTTTTTTTTTTAGATTTGCACAATTTTTCATTTGTCCTCTTTTCAGTCTTGATTGTACAGACAAAGAACTGAATGCTGTTGATTCTGGTAAGAGTAATATTTTTTAAAATTATTATTATTATTATTATTTCATTATAATAATATTTATTGTTGTTGTTGTTGTTATTATTATTAGAATACAAGAATTATCACCAAGATGATAATTGGAAAAAATATCAATTAGAAAGAAGTCTGAGTAATCAAAACCATCCATTTTCACAATTTGGAATTGGTAATATTGAATCATTGAAAGAGATTCCTCTTAAGGCTGGTCTTGATGTTAGAGAAGAATTAATTAAACATCATAAAAAATATTATTCTGCTAATTTGATGAAATTGGTTGTACTGGGGAGAGGTAAATCAATTTATTTAATTTTTATTTTAAATAATAATAATAATATTTAATATTTATGATATCTAATGATGACAATATCTAATGGTAATAATAATAATTCATTATTCAGAACCTTTGGATCAGTTAAATAATTGGGTGGTTGAACAATTCTCTGGTGTTAAAAATAAATCAATCCCAGTACCAATTCCTGATGGTTATCCTATAACTGAAAAAGAATTAGGAGTAATTATTTCATTTATTATTTCATTTATTATTGATTTAATAATATTTATTCATTATTGACTTATCAATTATTTATTATTGATTTATAATAAGAATCTAATTTCAATAAAACCTGTAAAAAATGCTCATAATCTTGAAATTACTTTTCCTTTTCCTGATCAAACTCCATTATATGAAACAAAGGTAATTTTTGGCATTAGTTTTTAATTTATGACTTGAATTGTTTGTTGTTACATTTATATATGTGTGTATATATATCTATATTCATTTAGCCTTCTAGATATATTTCCCATTTAATTGGACATGAAGGAGAAGGATCAATTTTATCATTGTTAAAAAAGAAAGGTAATTAAAAAAATTTTAAATTTATTATTTATTTATTATTTATTATTTACAAAAATAATAATGATAATTTAATTTTTATTTAAAGGCTGGGCAAACAAATTAAGTTCTTATTCAATTTACCAAAGTATTAATTTCTCAGTGTACAAAATTTCGATTGATCTTACCGACGAAGGTTTAGGTAATTTATTTATTTTATTTCTCAATATTTCTCTACCATTTTATTATATTTCTCGTCAATATATTTTCTCACATGTATATATCATTTTGCACCCATTGCCTCATCTATTTATATTTCTTCTTTATTTCCTTTATTCATATAGTTAATTATGAAGACATTGTAAAGATTTGTTTTCAATATATTAATATGTTAAAACAAATTGATCCCAAAGAACAAGAACGTATATTTAATGAGGTACATTATAAATAATTTATATATATATATATATCTCCCTTTGTAAATTTTTAATTTACTTTAAATTTACTTTTTTTTTATATATTTTTAAAGGTCAAAACAATCGCATCAATAGATTTTAGATTTCTAGAAAAAGGTTCGCCATCAGGTTACACTTCGGGATTATCAGCCTATATGCAATACCCGTATCCACGTGAATTGATATTAAGTACTCCACATTTAATTCGAAAATATGATGCGAAACTTATTACCGAAGGATTAAACTTTTTAAATTGGAATACATGCATTCTCACTTTATCAAGTAAATTGTTAAGTGGATTTAATAAAAAAGAAAAGTGGTTTGATACCGAATATAAATTTGAACCCATAAATCCAAAATTTTTGCAGGTATTTCATATTTTTTACGTATCTATTTTTTTAAAATTAAAATAATTTAAAATATTTATTTATTAGGAATTACAAGATTTAACTTTAAACCCTGAATTAAAAATTACCGGACCAAATGAATTCATTCCATCAAATTTTGAAGTAAAGAAAATTGAAAATGTTAAGGTAAATATTTTTTTAAAAAAATTTTTAACATACATTTTATGTTAATATCTATTTTAATATGCTTTTAATAGCCACTCGAGCGTCCATTCCTTATTAAAGACACGAAATTATCTCGTCTTTGGTATAAAAAAGATGATAGATTTTGGGTACCCAAAGTTGAAGCACACTTTTTATTAAACACGTATGATTTTATAAATATTATCTCGCTTTATTTATTATCTCAATTTTTTTTTTTTTTTTTAATTTTTTAATTTTTTTTTTCAACCATTTTTAACATTCGTTTTAGTCCATTGGCTAATGTTACACCATTACACTCAGTCATGACCGGATTATATATTGACTTAGTGATTGATGCATTTAGTGATTTTGCATATGACGCAGGAATGGCTGGATTAACTTATTATCTTTATGATCAAGGTAATGGTATCGGTGTATCAGTAACAGGTTATAACGACAAAGCTATACTTTTTTTAGATAAAATTATTCAAAAAATGAAAAATTTTATTATTGGTCCGGAAAGATTTTTGAAGATTAAAGAAGAATTAAAAAGAACTTTACAAAATCGATTATTGGATTCGCCTTATGAATTAGCAATGTGTAACACAAGTTACATAATTAATCAAAAGATATGGAGTTTTCAAGAAAGACTTGATGTATTGGATGAAATCAATTATCAAGATGTTCAAGAATTTTATCCTAAATTATTTAAACAAATGTTTTTTGAAGGATTGGTTCATGGTAACATTGATAAATTAGAAGCTATCAATATGATAGAAATAATTGAAAATATTTTAGAATCAAAAGAATTAAGTTCTTCACAATTAATTGATAATAGAAGCTTATTATTAAAAGAAGGAAAATATGCTTATTTTAAAGAAGTTAAGGATGAGAAAGAGATTAATTCCGCTATTGATTATTATATACAAATTGGAGATATAATGGATAAAAATCTTAGAGCAAAGTTATCTTTAATTGGACAAATTGCTGATGAACCTTGTTATAATCAATTAAGAACACAAGAGCAATTAGGTTTTTTTTTAATCATTTTTTATTAATTATTATTATTATTAATATAAATTCATTAAATATGATATGATATTTTTTTTAGGATATAGTGTTTGGAGTTTATCAGATAGAGTAACAGGATCAATGGGATTTAGAATAATTATTCAAAGTGAGAAAGATACAATTTATCTAGAGAATAGGATTGAAGAATTTTTTAATAAATTACAGGTAAATTATAATTTTAATTTTCTAATTCTTTATTTATACATAAAAAAAGAAATAATCTATATTAATATTATTATAAAAATAATTTTATCAATATTTTAAATTTAATAGAAAATAATAGAAGATATGTCAGATGAAGAATATGCTAAACAAATGACTTCAGTAATCAATAAAAAACTAGAGAAATTCAAGAATATGGGAGAAGAGTGTTATAGATATTGGTATCATATTTGTACTGGATATTATGAATTTGATAAAGGTTTGTTGTTATTTATGTATTTTATTTATTTATATATTACATTATTTATTATTTATTATTTATTTATTTATTTCTCTTTTTTATTTATTTATTATTCTAAAATAATAATAATATTTTTTTATAGTAAAAATTGACGTGGAAAATCTGCGTCAAATCACAAAACCAGAATTATTATCATTCTTTAATACTTATATTCATCCTAAAAGTTCCCAACAAAAGAAAATCTCTGTTCATAGTAAATCTCAAAATGCCGAATTAATTAAGAAATTTAATTCAATTGATATCAAGAAATTACATGAATTAATAATTTCATCATTAAATACATCCAATACATCTAATACATCAAATGCATCTAATACATCGAATATGATTATTACTATTGAAGAATTACAAAATGCTATTAATCTTTTGAAAACTCAGGGAATTGGAGGGGTACAACAAACTGGGATTGAAATGATGGTGAAGAAATTCTTTTTGGATAAGATTAATAATAATGATAATAGTAATAATAATGGTGACAATAGTGATACTGGTGACAATAGTGATACTAGTGACAAGAAGGAAGTAATGGATGAAAGAATATTAGAAGTTATAAATGGATTAGTTAGTAAAGTAGTAAACTTAATTTTTGCAAAAGAAAAAATTAATGGTAATTCGGATGTGATGATAAAAGATGAAGAAGAATATAAATTATCTGAAAATAATGAAATCGTTGAAGATTTAGTCTTATTTAAAAGTAGGATGCAATTAAGTTCTGCTTCTTATCCTGTTTTACCTTTATCTGATTTTTATGAAAAATAGAAATGAAGATAATAAAATAATAATTAATTTAATAAGTAGTAAATATAATAATAAAATATAATTGTAATAATAGAATAGGAGAAATTAGTTCCATGAAATTGCCAAGGCATAGTTACGCTATACCTGCCCAAATTTATTACGGCTGTCAAAATATGAAATAATTTGATCAAAGTTCCAAATCCCAAATTATTTTTCAAAATTATTTTTATTGATATGATTATAAAAGTATTTGTATTTTACAGATTTAACAAATACTAAAGATGAGTCACCTGCGCATCTATTTAGCATTTTGATCTTTTTTAATACCTTTATATATATTCTTTTTATACTGATTAGAAAAGCGACGAAAAACGATTACCTTGCTTATTTGATTAAAAAGGCTTTATGTAACCTTTATATTTGCAAAAATATTTTTTTTTATCATTAACATAATATTTGAAATCAAGTTATTTTATTAAATGTATGATGTTTCACTATAATAATTATAATAAGTATATTCAACTTATTTAATTGCTGATCCGCCTAAGAACGTTATTTAATAAACTATAATATAGTTTGCATCTGTTGGGCACAAAGTATTATAAAAATATATAGGTTTAAAAAAATTGATTTTTCAGTACATAAGAAAGTATCTTTTATTTTTACAAAAAAAAAGCCCAAATAGCATACTTGACAGATACTAAAATTTCATCTATGATTATATTGTAATAATTTATATGCCGTCCAGATTCCAGCCTATATAATTTTATATATACACCAACCTGCCAACAACTGTTTTTTTACCAAATTTATCAATAAAATTCAAGGGCAAATTGTGACACAAGAAATAATTTAAATTACGTAAACTTTTTTTTAAAAAGATCCCCTGATCAATGGCTATCATATGATATCTTTTCTGTTAAAATTGGATGCTTGTCTTAAATAAAGTTATCCAAAAATTGCAAATCAAATTGTTAATCGTAATGTCTCTCGTTTTCAATAACTAGGGTTGTTAATAGAACATAATGGGTTGGGTTGGGTTCATATTATAACGGAGCAATGGTCAACCCAACCCAACCCG